GTCTTCAAATGACAGCTTACGCAGCTGCATGAACACAGTGACACTTTTTCTGTCTTTGGCTCCTGTTATCATTTAGTTAAGACAGTCATGGAATTAATTTAAACTTCAGTATCTATGGATTTAAAAAAACCAAACAGCTGGGTTTAGCTGAAATTGCTAATTAGTTAAAAGCTGTTGGGAGACCGGTTGTGCTGTTGGTTTGTGCCCCTGCTAGCAATTAAGCCATGTTTCCCTGGAAGGCCACACTGAACACGTTTATTTTAAATGTACATACAACACGTTGAACCTCTGTTCAGCAAGAGGTTTTTTTAGGAGGTCCCCCTCCTCACAGTTTAGGAGTTAGAGACTGCCATCCAGTCTTCTGACTAGTCTGAGGGGACCTCTTGTTTTCACTGGTGAGTCTCCAGTGAGCTCAGTAAGCAATTTTTAATGAACTGAATCAGTTCAGCGGCCACGACTCTGCCCTGCCTTCTGCTTGCCACCATTCTGGTGACCTTCAGGTTCAGCGAGTATTTAAAGGTAATTATATCCCTAATGACATCGCAAACTTGTTTCCAGATATTGTGAACTGGGGCAAGGTTTGAATGTAAACATAGGCCCCTTATTCTGTTGCTGAGATAAATAATACTGAACTGGTATCTGCAGCATATCTTCTTGTCTGCAGCTAACAAACTTTAGTAAAGTGTCTTCCAGATTCTTAAGTAAATCCTTCCTAAATCACAAATAAGACTCAGGTTTGGCTATAACTGTCTTCAGAGAGAGGTGTCTTCCTCTCTGTTTACTTTGTGTCTCTATATGTATTTTGTTAATAGACTTACATGCACAAGTCAGCTGTAAGGGGTTTTTTGTTTGGCTGGTTTATAAATCAGAGTGTAGGCCAAGTGGCTAGGTAAAACTTTTGACTTCCAGTTCCTGAGCTTGGTTTTGGTGTGGACTGCTCGGCTTTTGTACAGTAATCTCGGAGGGTTGTTATTTATTGTCTCAGAGATACTGAGATTCCAACCTTTTATGAAAGGTATTGAACTGTATTTTTCATAAAATGATGGGAGTCTGGGTTTCATAATAATTATAGAAAATAAATGTTTCATGGTTTTTTCAAGATTGTTAATTTCAGTCTATAATTGCTATTGAGGAATATACGGCAGTGATTCCTAAGAGACAAATTTCAAATAGAAGTATTTTTGCTTTCATAAAACAAAGCAAACTTGTTCGTCCAGTCTTACCCAGTCTGCGTAATGCTTGTCATGGAAACATCAGGGCAAAAGGATCAAGAATGATTTTATTTTATTTTCCTGCTCTTGTCTTTCCTAGTAGTCCTGGGAGACTTGCTATTCTCTGTCCTTAGACCAGGAGAGTATCTAAATGAGGTACCTTTAGTTTCAATATCAACGCTTGAAAGCTTTAGCTCCAAAAATAAGCTTGGTATGGATCAAGCTACTGTTTCCTTCTGATTTATGTACATTTTGAATGGCTACCTACCAGAATGTTGTATAAATTATAAGATTTTCTGAATTATTCTTCTGTGGCTGTCTGTTGAACATGGCCACTTTGCAACAAATGAATTACAAAAGACAGAAATTCAAGTGCTATACCGAAAGGTTTTGTAAGTAGGTGACGGTGGGAGTCCAGTATGTTTTTACTTTTCCACTGCATCCAAGTTTGCAAAAAGCTTTTTCTGGGCATGCTGTCAAAGGGCATAGTTCTGGACTTTTTATTACACAGCTCCGATTTCTTTTTGTAAGTGTGTAACTGTATCAGTTAAATAGCAGCTGAGGAAATGTAAATTACGTATACTTGCTTTAGAAAGATGAAATTTCAAGACGAAGGTAGCATCTACTTAATAAAGATAAAACACAAGCAATTATTTGCAGGGTTTTTTAAACATGGATGACTTTTTTTAATATGCATACATACCAGCACACAACAATATGCTTGTTGCATGTGAAGATTTTAGTATATGGCACCAGAATAAGTGAAATATCACATATGCCCATATTTGAAATCATACTGTAAGTTTTAATTAACATTTAGGTCGAAGTACAATTTGTTTGGCCAATATGCTGTTGCATGTGAAGATTTTAGTATATGGCACCAGAATAAGTGAAATATCACATATGCCCATATTTGAAATCATACTGTAAGTTTTAATTAACATTTAGGTCGAAGTACAATTTGTTTGGAAAGTAATTAGAAAAACACAAACAAACAAACAACAAAACCTTCTGATTTTTAGGATTATTCTGGTTCTGGCTTCTGATCAGCTATGCCTTACAAACTCAGAGCATCGTTCTTTTGGTCTCATTTACCACATCTGTTTCCTTTCTGTATGCGATGCAGAGTCGAGCTACCTACATGTCTGAAACGACTGCTCTCCTGCTCTCCTTTCCCTGGGTAGCACTGGTTTTCCTAATTAAAGCTATGGTCCTGTAGGCACCAGGGTGACTTCATGCACTGTCTGAACCCTGTCATTGCTTTGCTGAAACTATTTTTACTGTAAATGAAGATAAACAAACGCATAAACTTTTTCAGGACAGGGTCACTTGGTACTGAATGATGCAGAAAACAGAACAAACATGGATTTCATTACCAGGCTTAAAAGGTGTCTTTAAAATAGTTGGAATTTGAATAATTTGGTTTAGACTGAGTATTGCTCCTTCACTATTAATCTATTTGAGGGGATCACCTATTAATTAATTTTTTGGTGGGGTAGCAGAGAAGAGGCCTTGTTGGAGTGGCTGAAGGAAGGTGGGGAAAGGACCCTTCTCACTTCCCTGGCGCGGAGCGTGCTGCCTCTCAGCTTTCTCCTGATTCTTCCGTTTCTCCCATCCCTTTAAATCCTGCGGACTTGGGGCAGGTTCACCCATCCTTCCTTCGCTGACCCAGGGAAAACCAAAGCCTTGTAATCACATGCAAAGGGGAACTCAGATAACTACTTCTTCAGCCCCACTAATCCCCCTAGCTCTGCTGATCTGATTTTAGTTGGTAAGCAGCTTCATTTTTGGAGTCTACTTTAAGGGATCATTTGATGATGAAGTTGTTCATATGTCTAAATAATAACTTTCTGAAATGCTACTGTAGCCTTTTGTTCATTGCCTACACTGTCTTGTGCATTGCTCCTTTCATCATGCCTGTAAGTTACTGGCCTGGCTGACCAAATACAAACACTTCACGTATTTTCCTTACAGAAGTAGCATAATTTTTCCCTATAGATACTGTGTGGAAATAGGTAAAAATCTGGTTTTTTAAACATCACTTTTTTTCATGTCTGTATTAGAAAAAAACAAGTTGAAAGAACATGAATGTTGACTTGGGAATTTTTTATAAAGACATTTTTGTCAGTGGTTCACTTTGGTTTTGAGTCAATGTTTCAACTTTGTGAGAAAGTTAGTTTCCCCGCTGCTGTTTTTGCCTGTTTAGCAGATACCCTGCCCAGCAATTACCTGACCTGCATCCTGCAAAGCTGTCACTGTTAAAACAGTACAGCTGGTATTGTTGAGAAATGTTGTTGCTTTGTGTTAATTTTCCATTTCTTCAGAAGTTAAATGTTGAAACTGGAGAGAGATAAGAGTCGCAGCGGCACTCTTCTAAGAGGAACAGAATAAAACCAGCACTGCATACCAGCATCAAAGTTAGTAGTGGCAACTGATGATGCATATCCCAGGAGATATGGTTACACTTCTGGGAATTCATTTCCATTTCGTGATCTGTCAGTTCTTAGCTCTTCTTGACGTAATCACAGAGGTTTAATAACGCGTGCTATTTAAATCAATAAAAAATAGGAATGTATGAGAGTACTTGATGCTGAGTTATTGAATAAAGATAAGGAAAATATGATCCTAGATCTGGAATCTTGCTGTTGTTAATTGGCAGGAGTTAAACAGAAATACTTCAAAGCGTTTGTATTAGTGTTGGATTAATTTTGTGACTGGCTCCTGCATCGTTTGGCATTCTGCAATAGTGATGTTAAGAAAGCACTTGTGATTTCATACACCTGTTACCAAACAGCTAGCTAGTTCTTCAGGTCTGAGTATTTCCTGATTATTTTTTTCCCCTCAAATACATGGAAAATGTAAATTAAGCTCTGCAAGGAAGGAGAAATGCTTGCAATTTTTTGCTTGTGTTTAGTCCTATCATGGCTTAAACTGTTGAATTGGTTAGAGAAGTGGAAATGTTGTGGTCAGAAGGTGTAAGATTGACCTGTATTGATGTTTTAATTATTGTTCAGTCTATAGTCTATGCTTGTTTAGAAACAGACTATACAAGTGTAGGTTCTCAATAACTTTATAGCCTTATGGTTTAATACAATGCAATAACTTAATCCTTTTGTGCCTTATTGTTGGAATTGATCCATTTGACTTAATTTGATATTCAGAAGTAAATTCCAGTGAGTCTGGATTGTTGACTCCTGAGACAGTAGTACTTTAAGAAAACAGTGGGGTTGGAATAGAGTGTAAAGTACCGCTTCCATTCTCCCCTGGCCTCTTTGCCCCCGAAAAGCTGACCTTATGAATACATAGGAGCAGAGGTGATTCTGGTTTTACTACCTTCACGAAGCTGCTTCAGAGAGCAGGAGTCATCATTCTGGCAAAGTATAGGAACATAACGTGCCACTGAATTTGGAAGTTCTAGGAAGGGTGGCTTAATATGAGGAGCTCATGGGAATCAGTGGTTCGACCCCCATTAGCCTGGTGTTCACTTTTGTTCATCATCTAAACATTTTCTTCTTAAGATCTTGCAACTATGTATTTAAACATGTTGGGAGTCTGTGTGGCAAAGTGAAGAGCAGAGTGCTATTTGTATTAATGGTTATTATGGTGAAAAGACATACAGGTATTCAGGGATTGCAGACAGTTATGAAAATTTTCTACCTAATACAGCTTTTTCTATGAATTGTATGCATGCATGTATATACCCATTGCATATGATATCCTAGTGGCTGCTATTTTTTTTATCAGTTTTACTATGTTGCTTACAGGTTGTTTTTCTTTTTCAATTGGCAGGTATTTAATTAGTCAAGGAGCACATGTAGGAGCTGTAAATAGTGAAGGAGACACTCCATTAGATATTGCTGAAGAAGAGGCAATGGAAGAGCTGCTTCAGAATGAAGTAAATAGACAAGGTAATTTCAAATATGGAGGGGTGATTTTTGTTTATTGAACACTAAATATATTTTTGAAAACTTACACTAAATTAGGAATTTTAAAGTCACTCAATTTATTTTCTAAAGAATTGTCAGTACAATGTACAGTGCTCAAGCTGTCTTCTAGGACTTTTTACTCAGCCCAGCCTCTTGTGAAGAAAGAGGTCAGAAGTATTGAACCCAGGTGTTGACTGGATTCCTGCATTCACTTAAGACAATAGAATTTAGGTGGTCGTGAGATACTATGGGGTGGTATCCCAGCTTTAGACTATGTCTAAAGAGATTCTTGCCTTAGACAGGAGAAAAAAAGGCACTTTTCGGGTGGCTCAGATGTCAGTTTTAGGATAAGATGAATCCAGCCCTAAGGTAACTGTTTTCTTTCCGTTGACTACAAGAAAGCCTGGAATAACTAAAATGAGTAAAAAACTATAGTGTATTCCATAAATCACCCCTTGCGTCTAGTTTTGACCTTTTGAATGCCCTTCTACAATGCCAAATGTCTGAAACTACTTCTTGGGATAAGGAGCCTTAGATTGCACTTGGTTTAGGTCTGAGAACCTATTATGAAGCTTTAAGTTCCTCCTGCTTTTGTTCACTCTACTGAAAGCACTGTACAGGTGAGCATTCGTGTAACAGTTAATGGGTAGGTATCAAGTTTTGACAGTATTGTTTAGAAATGTATACCCTAAATATATGCACCTTGCTCCTAGAAAATTACTAGGGCAGTACTGGCAGCGGTGTCTTTACAAGAGAAATTTGCCTTTGAAAAAGCATATTGATTCATTTTCCCCTGCTTTTTTTCCCCTCCTTACACTGCTGTTTTCCATGTTCCAATCCTCAGGTGGGTTTTCCAGTGAAAGGTCTTTGAAAGTTTCTGGTTTTTCTGTTCCACAGAGGAAAGAATATTTGGTTGTTGTTGACTGACCATCCTGAGTACAATAGAAATGCACTGCTATCCCAGAACTCCCAGTACAAGAACTGGGGTGGTGTGGTCCAAGTCATATTACATATTGAAGGAAGATGACATTCAGAGTGAAGATGGAGCCTTTGTGGGTGGTGTGCAAGGGGACTGCATCTACATTACTTCTAGACCCTGCCTACCTTTTAAAAGGCTTCTCTCTCCTTGAAAATGTTGATTTTTCTGGAGCATTGACTTTATAATTTCTATCTCTACAACAGATTTACATAATTTAACAGTAAACTATTAATTGCTTCAGGCTTTGCCCTGATGTAATTTGTATGGTTAAACCTGTCTAAATCCCAAAGCAAATGGTAAAAAGAAAGTGGATAACATGATATGCAGGGAAATAAGAGATACCTACTGATGTATAGAAGTAGACTGTAGATTTGACAAAGACTTTGATTCAATTATTTGGTAGTGCTAACTGAATTTTGATGAACAGTTCTTATAGTTAACACACAAAGAACATGAGATTAGATAGTTGCAAATATTTTTTTTTTGTCTGTACTACCCTTTGTCTATTTTAATCAGTTTGGAAAAAATACAGTAGTTGTTCTCTTTTCTAACAGTACTGTCAGTCTGCTGGAGAGTTGTTTCTGGAATGTGCCTCAGCCTAAATTCTTTAAGGTTGTTTTTGAAACATTTGACTTTACTGATATGCTATACTAATTGACTGTAGTAGTTCTTTGTAAAATTCACATTATTTGTGAAACAAACTATTATCCAAAATCTCTTATTTATATGTTACTGCTTTTCTTTTATGTACATTTTTACCATGCAGATTCAACGTCACACACTAATTTTTATTCTTTTGCAAGTTTAATTATTTTGAACAGCCCAGTTGTAAAATCAGCATTGGCAACCTAAACTAAATGCCACAATTCACTGAAAGTTTCAGTGTGGTTTACATATTTCATATTTAAAGCTCCCAATAAACTATCTATGATACTCTCTTTACAAGTCTGCAAAGAACATAGATGTTCCCACGCTATAGCTGTTAGCTTCTAAAGGAATAATTCAGGTTGTTTTAAAATACTAAATTTCAGTGACTGTGGAAAAACTATTTTCCAAGCGTTCCTTGTACATTTTATGTCAATTGGTTTGCTGACTAGCTAAAGGATTTTCAGAAGACTGGTCTTGCTAAGATCATTTGAAAAATACATTGGTTGAATGAGGCACCATGTCAGGTGAGAAAAAACTGGCTAGGGCTGTGCTTCAGCGTGGTTTGACCTCCCTCTGTGGAGAATGGGACCTGGATGCTGTCCTGAAGAGTGGCCACACAGTGAACGTCCCTGACAGCATTTCTGCCTTCCTGGTCTTAACAGGGCACTAAAGTCTATGGTTATATATGTAGCCTACATATATATACGTATAAATATATATATATATATATTTGCAGACACATATATATGAATGCATTTATATATATGTATTCTACCTAGCTTGTTTTGCTGTTAGATCATTTAGGAGTTTCAGTTTCACAGAAGCAGGGAAGAAGGCATGCAGCATCCCTTCTTCCAAATTTGTGTATGAAGGTGTAAGAACTAAGGGGTTTTACCTGCAGGGATGAAATCATAAGAAACATTTAATGATTGTGGATGAGAATGAAATAGAAAGGGTATGAATCTGCATATGAACTTGTAGTGTGTATCTTACTAAATCATGAGACAGTTGTCTCAGCAATAGTGTTTTAATCATGTGCTTTTGATGGCATCCTTAACTTGCATATAAAGTTAATATTATATGCAGAATGATTATTTAGCCATTATCATGACCACTTGAAAAGTGCCTAATTGCGTGTATGTTGTGGCTAGAGACGTTAATAGCTCTAAAATAGGAACTTAATTGTTTATGTTAATGTAGAATTAACACTGATGCATTGTAACAGTTTCATCTTTGACTATACATGTGGATGGATGCAATTATCCCTCCAGCTTTAGCATTGCTCCTCATATAAAATAAAGCAGTGCTGCAGTTTTGATAATGCAAATTAACTGAAGGGTCTGTGGAAAGATCCTGGCTGCCAAAAAAATCTTACCTCTGTGTAGTTAAAACATGCAGTGTGAAAATTAAGTAGACATTTTCTGTAACATTCTTGCCTTGCCACCTTTTCATGTGTATTTATTCCAACATTCATTCTAGTTTCATTTTTGTGTTGCTTAGTTAATGCTGTGAGTATGGCTTCCTACATATTGGCATCAGCAGAGTCGTTTGTTGGCAAAAGATTGCCTGGAAAGGTCAGTCAGGTTCATTATGATTTCAAATATGTGTAAGTGATGACATTTGATATTTGTTTCTGGTAGAAATCTGAGGCTAATCACCATGTTAGCTCCCCCTTTTTACTGCTTCTGCAGGCCTTTAGTCTTTACAGGAGAAGTTCAAACAGAGCCTTCCAGTTGTGCAACTGTTCACCCTTCTGCAGACTATCAATTTGTATTTATGCCCAATTTTCACAGGTATCGAATTATATTTTAAGGACTTGTCTAACTACAGGACAAAAAATAGGAGCCTCTGAGGACACTAAATTCACAGAAATAAATTATAGAATAGAACACAGTTCGGTTCTATGTGACGTTACAGGCTTAATACAAGGAAGGATCTGCAGGGTTTGCTCCGTCCTGTTTTAGCATTCAGACTCCAAAAGCTGCCCTGTCTAGAGAGAAAATAGTTATTTCTAGAGGAAATAACCAAGTTAATCTTCTTGGTTTACAAGTTCTGTTGTAAGGCGTGTTGGACGTGAAAGAAGAGAGCTTTTGTATTATTATTACCCAGTATCTTTCTTTCCTCAGTTATTCTGATCTCCACATGTGACATGTCTAAACTGTGACCCGTGGTTCAGGCTGTGGGCCACAGATCCCCAGGCGGGGCCACTTTGTGTTCCGCTGCATGTGTAGCGGGACCTGGTGATGCGATGCACTCTGACAGTAAGGAATGCATTTTTCTACAACAGGGAATTTCTTTTTTCATTTTTCTTCAAAGGGAAATTATTGGCTTATTTATTTTTTAAGCTTAAAACGTAGTTGAGTTTTATACTTTGTGAGAAGGTAAGTTACACACACGCTCTGGTAAGGTATAAAGATTTTCTGACTGAGTTGCGAACACTTCACAAATAGCAAAACGAGGTGTTTTATGGAAATTATTCCATAGTAGTGCTGAACAACTATTCTGTTCACGTGCCACGTGTTCTAACTATTCTGCATATTACAAAAAAAACTTCTCACAGGACCTTTTTTGTTGTTTTTCCATATGGCTGGTGTCTTTATCATGGGCCAACCCCATGTATATAGATACCACTGCAATCCACAGAATTCTGTATCTTCATTTAAAATATTATTATTCCCAGCTTCTTGATATGGTCCCTATGTTTCTAGTCTGTGATGTTTCAACTTTTTGTAGTTGTGGAAGTTGTCTTTTGCCAGTAGCATACAGTTTTCGTCTGCACTGGTGAAAGCTAGCAGGGTTGAGAGAGATGTTGCTTGGCTGTCGCTTTAGTCCTGGCTAAGCCTGGCCAGTGTTAAATGTTGCCTCTCCTCAGGTCTCGAGTGGGGTTAAGTGTTATGGCTTGAAGCGATTTTTTTAGCTGTTTATCATCAGATGTCCTCTTAAACTTATTTTTAACTGCTCAAGCAGTTATTTTGAATTTTAGGAAACATTCTCAGGAGGTGAGTTGGTGGGGAGAGGTGACGTGAGGTGAATCAGGAGTTCATGGTACAGCATGGTAGCTATTCGGTAAATACTAGAGGGATCACTTCTTTTCCAAGGAGAAGCAAATGTTCCTCATTCTTAATTATAGGTAAATGTAACGAGACTCTCTCGGATGTACTGCTTAACTCAGCTTTGTTTATGTGGATAAAATGTGAGCTATTACATTTGTATATAAACATTCACTACATGAAGTAAAAAGTGGGTTGCTCTTCCATGCAGTATCTATGAAACATGCCTTTATATGGCTGAGGAGTCCTGAAACAATGATTCAGCATTTATATTGATGCTGAATTTCATTAAATGCTCACTGAACGGCACACTGTTCTCAAACCTGTTTGGAACTGTTGAATAACACTTGTTGATCAGAAAAAATGAAAGCATTTACCCATAAATTATTAATGATTTAAGAATTGTTCGACTGCCAGAAGTTAAGTGTACGGGTGGTGTGAGTGAATCCTCCAGCTGAAACTGAGCTGGGAGGCAGCGCATTGCCATCTATGGGCCGTATGAAGAAAGTGTTTGAAACGTATGACGAGCATTTTCTTTTTCCCTGATATCTTAGTAGAGCCTGGAAAACAAAAGCAAGGAGAAAGGTCCGTACAAGGTATAATAAAGGCTGTTTACATTCTGTTTTCTGTAGTTAATAATGGGAATTGTATTTAGCTTATCTCAGAGAGCGGCTTTTTTTCTACGACACAAAGTTCAATTCCCGTTTTCGTGCCAGTTATTAACGTGGGATGTTTTATTTAGATTGGCAAATTCTCCTGCTTTCTTCTGTTGAAATATGATGAGAAAATTACTGTCTTGTAAAAGCACGTAGTGACGCAGCCATTAGTCCTCTGCAGCCATTGTATCTTGTTTGGGCTTCAGAAATGCAGTCGTTCGTGATGTTGGTAGAAGTCTCTATTCAGTATTAGGTACTTTTTCTGCACAAGCATTGCTACTTTGACGTAATTCTTTGGGTCTTTAGGCACACTTGGAAAGTATGCTTAGACATTAACTGTTAGAAGTTCAAGATCAGGGTTTGGGAAGAACTTTTTCTCTGTTCTTCCTTTATACAAAAGCGCCTCAAAACAGCCAGCCACACGCAGAACAGTTTCACACTGATAGGAATTCTCATCAGCTGGTGAAGGTTACTCATGGTGATAAGGATTCACAGTTAGACTTCGGGCATGCAGAAAGGGGTTGAACATAAATGTGACATAGCAGATGATACATAAACTATTTATTTGCATAGTAGCATTTTGCGGGCAAGAGTGACATGTAAATGACCATACTCTGGGGAATTATTTTCCCAGGATCTGCTGAACTGCAGTGCTGTGTCATTCTGAAAGGCAAACAGATGTGAAGGCCCAAGGAAATTACAATTTGCAGTTATTTGTACATCAATATGTAGGAGCCTTCTGGAGGAATGAGAATACGTGATTATCAATACGTTACTGATTCAGAGCTCCTGGTTTTCATTCTGCATATCTGTCAAGAGTTATAAAGATTATCAGACACATAAAATTTAATCTCTGGTCAGATGTATTTAATCATGGGTTGTCTTGAGAGAGAGAGAGTTTTGAAACTTCCATGTATTTAATTTTTACCACAGCTTCTTTCAAACAAGTACATTTTAGCTTTTTCCTCTGCTTAGTGCTTCAGCAGTCTTTTGTATCTTCCGGCATCTTTCAGACTTAGCCTCCAGGTGAATAAGATTTCATCGGTTTCTAATAAAACATAATTTATTAATTTTTATTAAATTGCCAAGACTGAAATGATTGTTTTAGTCAATTCAGTGGATGAGTCTAGGAATTCAGTCAGCTGCTTAAAACACTTAATGTATAACCTGCTTCAGTTATTTTATGATAGTTAGTAAACTTTTATCTTTTCAGCTGTCCTTAACATAATGTTTTACCAGATTTACTTAGTGAACAGAATCTTTTCTCCAACTGGTCTTTCTTTGGGTTTTATTTTTAATTAAATTATTTAATTTTTTTTAATATTTTTAGACATGGAATATCTGTTATGGTGTGAATAGACGGAAGAATAATAAAAAAGAAATTAACTCTGTTGTAGCACCATCATGCTACCGCAAACCAAACAAATAACATGCTATGTTTCCAAAAGCATGTAATAATTACATTCATTCTTTCTGCATTTCAGGAAATTTTGATTTGCGCATGTCATTTTCAAGGGTTTTCTTGCTGTATAATTGGGGAATTGCAGCATCCATGAAATATTATTTCATATGTAATGCAGTAGATATAGCAGTCTGCTATCCACTGCCTTAAGGTATTTCAACAGTGCCAATATAATTACTTTCAGTTTGCCAGTTTGTTGCTCTGGCTTTATAGTTGCTAGTGGGTTGTTAAGAGCTTGATGAAACTGTTTTATTATAATCTGGTTTATCATGTTTTACACAGTAGAATGATGCATTGCACTACATACAATCATCTCTATATTATCTATGTCTTTTTCATTTTGTGTTATTCATAATTTTTTTAATGAAGGCCACTTCATCCCTTAGCTCAGTTTCTGCTGCATGTCTAAATGGGCGACAGTCAAGTTGGATTTCATTTGGTTTCCATACTCTGGGGATTCATTCACCCTGTAAAGGATTAATAGCTCACAGTTTCTTTGAAGAAAATAGAGCCTGAAATTGCTGTTCAGTAGAAAGACTTTGAAAATTAATTAAAATTAATTCATTATGTAGAGTAGTTTTGAAAAGAGCTGTTCTAGCTTTGCATACCCTTGTTTGTGGTCTGCTTTATATTGTCGTTCTTTGATTAGTTGGACAGTGAGGAGAGTTATGCGATAGAAACATGTTTGCTGGAGAAGAACGGTTTGGGGACAAATGAAGCTTCAGCGGGAAACACTGAAAGAAGGTAGAATTAGATCTGAGTCAAGGAGCATCTATCTCTTAAGTGTTTTAAAAATCATCTTCACTTCTGTTTTATAGGCTATAAGGACTACTGTTGAAGTTTGTGGTTTTATCTAGTAAATCAGTACCTCTTTCTAGATTTTACTTGTTTTTATTATGTCCGAGTTAATGCTTTGCTCCATGAGAAATGAAAAATTCAGAAAACCAGTATATATTTCTCAAGTCCCTGCATAACAGTGCCTAAGATTAGACAAATCACACACATAAAATAATTTTGCTGAAGTTTGGCCCACTGATTTTCTGTTAGAGGTCAACCCAGATGCAATTTGTGCTCTTGATGACCACAATTTCCAAGTCCCTTTTCCTCACAAAGTTGTCACTGTTCAGTCAGCATAGATAGAGCAGTGCTCATGTGCAGTTCTCTTCAAGACCCCTTTCCTGCTGTGTTCTTTAGATCACTTCATGTGTTAGTAATCAAAAAATACTTGCGAATACATGCTTTGCTTTGCCCATTCAGGGTCTGGGGTTTTTTTCAGTCTGTTTAACCTTGAAGTGTATACTTCCAAAGGTTATATTGTGTTTCTCCCTTTTCATCAGTGTATGATAATTTTTTTGTGAGACGTACTATAAAAAAGGTTTCCCTGTTTTTGATTTTGGTTTTTTTTTTACATGAGATATGAATGGAGATTTCCAAAGGCTTGGCTATTTGAATATAAGGTTTCTATTTCACAGTGACAGAAGACAAATTAGTTTTAATGAGTCATTCTTTAAAAAGTATAAAAAATATAGCTCTATCTTTCTTGTAAGTATTCATCAGCCTTGAAAAACTAGGCTGTTCCTCCTCCCATAGATATCTCCTTGTAAAACGGTTGTAGCTCTTTTCTACTTTCTACAGATTCATTGAACCAGACTTATATTTTGGTGCTTAGAAGGTTAAAATATTATTTTTCTTGTTTTTTAACAGGTCACTTCAGTAATTATTACTGTGATGGTAGATGTTCTTAAAACTGAAGAACCAGTTTAAGTAGCTTTCTTCTTTTTTTTCCCCTTCTTTTGGAAAAAAACCTGCAATATGCATGCAGAGTGTCATGCAATAGTAGATGTTTCCGTAACCTCTTGGGGTTCATCTTCAAAAAGATACTCGTATCTGACCGTGAACATTATTCATATTGTTTAGCTGTTATTTTATTGTATCACATAAACATGGTATAGGATTTCTTACATAATTGAATTGAAGTATTTGAACTAAAATATTTTGTGTGCTCTCTTCCCCTCTCCCCCTCCCTATCTGAATTAGGCGTTGATATAGAGGCAGCTCGAAAAGAAGAAGAACGAATAATGCTAAGAGATGCAAGACAGTGGCTCAACAGTGGCCATATAAATGATGTCAGGCATGCAAAATCTGGTGGTACAGCACTTCATGTAGCTGCTGCTAAGGGCTATACAGAAGTCTTAAAGTAAGTGTGGTTTAAATGGAAATGTTTCATATTTGATTGTCTTGTTGATGTAATGCTGCTTGGAATTGATAGGATTGGACACTTCGGACTTTTGGGGATTGTATCTTGGAAAATAACAATCTCTATAACTATATTTTCCTCAAAGCTTGATTTTATGTTTTCAAGCACTCATAAATCATGATGCTGTTAGCTCTCTACATTAAGTCATTAAAAACATGAATACAGTGTACATATTGAGCCTGAGTACTTCTTTAAAAGAAGAAAGTTGACAACAAATTTGCCATGTTTCTTAAGCCAACTGTGTGAACAAGCCTAATACCTTTTTATAATGCCAGTTAGCATTCTGGTTGATGCATATTTTCAAGACACTGTATTTCCTTGAATACATAAAGCAGAATTTGCAATCCAGACTAAAGGTTTTTAGACCTAAAGAGCAGAGAATATAATTTTGCTTTTTTGATATTGTTGTTGCAAATCATGACTCTTGAAATCTTTCCTGGAAAGCTTCAGGCTTTTGGTGTCCCCTAATTCACAGGTAGTTTTTCAGTAGTATGATACAAGAATATACTGTAACGGAGGTTCAATTTGTTTTTCATCAAAGCTTTAATGAAGTAAAGAATACTTAATAATAGATTGCTTTACCGTGATTTTAAATGTATTTGACTGCTTTGGCAGTACTAGGAACAGTTCTATATTGTAACATGAATGAAAATGAGCACGCACCCTGACTGTGTAAGTACTGCTGCCTTTAAGGTCTGCAGAGCCTTGTAATGCTTTGTCAACACAGAAGTTGAATGACAGAGCTTTTTTAATCATTATAACCATTACATACAGCTTACTGAATGGGAGTTCTGCTTCAAAAAAACCTTGATGCTTCAACATGATGAAGAATTATTCTGTTGGAAAAGAATAATTTTTATTTTAGAATAGCATGTGTCTGTAAGGGAGTTGTATCTATAACTAGGGGAAAAGGGGTGTTAGTGCTCTCAGTGTCTTTTTTGTAGTGCAGTCCATGTACTTTTCCTAGGAAGGGAAAAATATATGCACGGGCAATTTTTATAGTGGCTTCAAATTATGAAAAACATATGCTCTGTGTAGGATGCAAGACTTTGCAGCTGAGCACGTGTGAAAGTTGACTCATTTGAGGATATTAGTCTTGAGAAATTGACTTAATTTTTTTAGATGATTGCTTCACAGTTATGTGGTTTTTAATAATTGTGGACAGTGTTTCAGAGAGCTGATAGCCCTTTACACAAAACTGTTTGTCAGGTTCAGTGTCCATTGTCACTTTGCCACTCATGTCAGAACCATGCCGAATTTGAGTGTTGAATGCAGGCTGAAAAGCAGGTCCTCTGTCTGAGGAGCTTTGCTCCCGATCAGAGAGCAATTGAAGCACGTAAACACTAGATTGTTTTAACGTCAAATGTTAATCACAGGAGTAGATGCAAGTTTCAAGCAACTACTATTAGACTTCACAGCCTGAAGGAACTAATATTAGAATAGGATGAGGTTTTAATAATTCACTAGATAAGAACACTATCTAGCAATTTTTGACATTTTACAGCTTGTCTTTCCTTAAAAGGGCTTTTCTCTACTACTGCACATGTAGAAAAAAAAACCTAACTGTTTAGAAGCAAGTGGATTTGAATGAAGAGGAAGTAAATAAAGAAGAAAATGTAAAAGGCTATTTTTCTTTAATTTTCCTTAAAAATATATATACCTACTGAACAATGAAAAGGTGAATGTTTTTGTGAGGAAATAACATTCATCAATTGCCAATAGCCCAACTAAAATATGTATGATGAAAAAGGAGAATGATATTATTTTAGAATAATTTTATGATTTTACGATAGTTGATTTATCCCTGTCAGCAGCGTCAAGATCTAACTCTTTAAAAATTTCTTTAGGCTTTTAATACAGGCTCGCTACGATGTAAATATTAAAGATTATGATGGCTGGACACCACTTCATGCAGCTGCTCACTGGGGTAAAGAAGAAGCATGTCGCATTTTAGTGGAAAACCTATGTGATATGGAGGCTGTCAACAAAGTGGTAGGATTTTTATGTAATCCTTGTCAAGATACAAAGTTCTGGTCTCTAAAGTGACTTTAGAAGCCAGGGTAAGAAAAGTGATGATAAACTGCTGTTTACTATACGTGGAGCTTTGTATAATGCATGTTTTGTCAAAACAGCATGTTTGTGTTCCAAACTAAATTCTCTTGATTGTCTAAATTAATTTCTAGGCCCACTTTATGCTTAGTTCTGTATTAAATGACCATGTAATCTGTGACAGGGAAATCAAAATGGAATGGGTTTATTGACATTTCAGAGGTACAAAATTAGTGACTTGATGGATTGCATACAGACTTTCATTTGATCACTGAAGATAACGATGATGCCTTTGGGTAGTGTTTTAAAATCAGCTTGTGTTGGCGTACTAAAGAGTTACCACTATACTCTGGTTTGGGTGTGCTGGAAGAAACTTGTAGGCATCTCTGGACTCTCTATGACATCACTAGAATGCTTCCTAAGCTATATTTCCTCAACTTTTACACAAAGGCCTGCATAGCTTGCTGGCTTTGCAAGATCTTGCTCCCAACAGATACAAATATATTCATGATTCACATAGGCATCACAAGGATCCAAAAGTTCATTCACCTGTGTAAGTGCTGAAGCTCTCTTTGTTCTCTTCGCACCATGCTTTACAGATAGATTCTGATCTGCTTCCAATTACTGTCAATACTGTGTATGTAAATTACCTGCCCAACTTTTAAGATGGGTTCTTCATTGAATTTTGTCATAAACTTTTTAAAATAAATTAGGGAAATGTGCAGATATTTATCATGAAATAGTAAGTGTTTACTCTATATAAGGGCAAAACTACTGCTGCTTAATGTCTTTAGTCCTAGTCGATTTTTTTCCTTAGAAATTGAGGTTGCTTACAGTAAAATCAATGAAATCTGGAATTAAACTTCAAATAGCTTCTCCTCTGTTTCTGTATAATGCTTTTAGAACTTCTAAATATCAGCTGTAAAACTGTATTTTGTATCAGGCGATCAAAAGCTGATGCAATTAATTGAAGTCAGTTTATCACGTTATCTGTTAGACTTTTTACGGGGGTTGTGAGAATGTGGAGGGTGGTATTCCAGAGAGCACTCTCATGAAAGTATGTTCCACTCAACTGGGGCAAAAATAAGAATAAAGGAGGGAGAGACAGATATAAGCTGTTTAATTTGGTGTATGGGCTTGTCTGTGCAAGCTAGGAAAGTTTTGCCTGTTGTGTTCTTAAGTAATCCAGTAAGCATTTTTGCTTTTGGAGATACGAAGATTGAAAACTCTAGATTTGGTTTCAGTTGTAGGTGCTTAGCATGTCAGAGAACTCAGCCATTATTGTTTTGGCACTTGACTTCAGGTATTAATTTTTATGGATTGGGCGTAGATATAACCTTTCAACTACAATATTTTTTTGCAAAGTGATTTTTTTTGTGGTCAAGGTAGGTCTAACTTGCATTTTTTTGAAATAAACCCACTTAACAGTTACCTAAAAATAGAAGGCCAGATTAAAAACTGTAGTCATAATGCAAATACAAACTTGAGATAATTTTGTTATTTAGTTTCCAGGTTAGTGCTGTGGTATACTAAATGGAATAGTTCACATGTCAGAGGACCTCAAGCTGTTTTGGGTAATACTTGTTGAAAGGTGCATGTGCTTCTACTGTATGGTCAGAAGTTTTATGGATGTAAAAATTAGTGGTTTGAAGGTCCATCCTTTCTAACCAGTTAAGATAGTCTTCACAGTATAATTAGGATATGTTTGCCTTTAGTTAACGTTTCCAGAAACTGAAATAAGCAGAGACAAATAAGAACACTTTTAATTATCTTTCTAAGCTGCTGTGACCACTTTTAAATGACAGCTCTGTCTTTATTGCTGGTTATTGCACAGAAGCATTTACTTGACTGATCTTGTCATGATCCTCCCAACATTTCAGTATGTCTATCCAGTGTTTTGGTGCAGCTGCATTTATACCAACGGATCTAGGACTTTGCCTAGATTCCAGTCTTCCTGTATTTGAATGCAAACTTCCAAATACAAAACATTATGTTGCAGTATCAAAGTAAGTGAGGCTTTCTTTGTGAAACTGTGTGAGCTTCAACCCTTCTCATCTTCAAGTAGAGATGAAGAAAGGGAATTTTTGAAACCTTTACTAATTCAGACCTTAAAGATAGAATCTCATGTCCTGTGGGCATCTGGTCTATTTGAGAATTGTAGTGACTATGTAGATGTGAGATACAGCAAGCTGAAGAAATTCCAGCTGACAGCATTACTCTGTGTTAATGAATCACATTATGATCTGTTTATTCAAGTACATGTCCCATGGAAATCATACACTAAGGGAGGAGAAGAACAAATGGCTGTAGCAGATCACTTCTAAAATGGAATGTAAAATAGAGTTTTACTGTAAAAATGTGAAAGTGTGACTATTTAATTTTAGTATAGCTTGCTTAAATAATTTAAACTTTAAAAAATCAAACTATATGGTAGTCTAAGATGGGCAGGATACTGAACAGCTCAGTATCCATCCATATGACTGCCATTGGAATAGTTGTTTGGAACTAATATTGTGAGAACCATAGTCTTTCAATCTATTTTTTCCTTGATAGTTTTTTTTTTTCCTTCAAAGGACAGCAAAATTTTATTGAAGTCATGTTTTTATCTCTTAAAAAACATGTTTACTCATCAGGTATATATGTTTCTGTTTCAGTTACCCAAAAAAAGTAATATTGCAAAATTGTTTTCAACTACTGACGGACTAACAGTTTGTAATGGAGCTTGGCTTATACTTTCTAATTTCTCTCTCTGAATGTGCTCCTTACCTGCATCATCATGTGATATGGCATCGTAATCAGTTACATTTGAATTCTGCTGTACAATAGTGGTGTTTTGCTTCTTCCCCTTCTCCAGGGGCAAACAGCGTTTGATGTGGCAGATGAAGATATTCTAGGATATTTAGAAGAATTACAAAAGAAGCAGAATCTGGTAGGCCTTTTGCATATAAAGATATATATATATTTGTTATACTTTAATTATACATATGATTATGGTACACAGCTCAGAGTAGCACATAGATTAAAAATAAAGGTTTGATTTGGGGCTTCGATTCAGGTAATACCACAGTTATCTCAAAAGTTTTTTCATGCCCTTATTTGGTCAAGTATGGTGACCAGAAAGCCTTGGAAGAAAGAAGATACTCTTCTACTTGCCTTCTCCAGCAGGCATTTTATGATCTGAAGCATCAACAATTAACAAATTACTTGTAATAACAGTTTCTGAGACTGTAGAATTTTGAACTTTGACACTCTGTACGCTTATGCACATTCTACTGTTTGTAGTAGTTAGAGAAGATTTCCCTCCATTTGTAATTTTGATTACACTGATAACCATTCTGTCAATTTAACTACATTGTTCTATATGTTTTGAAGCTTCATAGTGAAAAACGGGAAAAGAAATCTCCCCTAATTGAATCCACAGCCAACATGGATAATAATCAGACACAGAAAACATTCAAAAAGTAAGTAAACTAGGAAAAATAATAAGCTCTTAATAAAAAAGATAACTTTACAAGCTGTTACAAAGTCCTACTTGACAGGCAGTAAGTTTTTGGGGACTTAACATTTTTCTTTTCAAACTCAGTAAAGAGACATTGATTATGGAGCAAGAAAAGAATGCAACTAGTATAGAGTCTCTGGAGCAAGAAAAAGCAGATGAGGAAGAAGAGGGAAAGAAGGATGAATCCAGTTGTTCTAGTGAAGAGGAAGAGGATGACGACTCCGAATCTGAAGCAGAGACAGGTATGTTATTTGGAGTATTGTTGTTCTTCTAGTTTTTGCTTTATAAATTTACTAATTTAATATAATCATTTAATATACAGAGTTAACTATCTTAAGTTTTGCTTATTCTTTTGCATTCTGCTAAACTTCCAATCATTTTAAAGAAAGTTTATATGTGTCTAAAATCAAGACTGGTGGCTATTTAGGTTAAAGCTATTAAACTACTTATTTGATTGGCTATTTAACAATTGATGCTTTTAATCAAATGGTTGGAATAATATAAGCCCTAAATAGCATGTCAGAAAGCATTTGAAGAAGTTAGAAGATCAAATCAGAAGTAAAGTGTTTGCTTGTGGAACTGGTGTAGAGATTGGAAGTGCAGAAGTGCAAACATTCTCATTTGTTCTTGCCATCCTGAAGTAAAAATCAATTAATCTGGCAATCTTAGCTGAGGCATTCATAAAGTAATGGTGCATATATTTACTGTTCAGTGAGTACCGAAATAAACTTTTAAAGGTGCTATTCTAATGTTAACAGTTACTTCCTATACAACTTCAAGAGGAATGTTCTTTGAAAAGTTTGGAATTGTACGCAAAGAAACGCATTACTCTGTACTTCAGTGGAATTTAGCTTTTTCTTCCCTTGAACAATTACCAGAGTCTTAAAGCAAGTACTGATGTAAGAACAGCATAGCATCTTTTTCTTTCAAATCAGAAAACAAATGTTGATCAGTGTTAAAAAGATGCATGTTCAATCCTAATAAAGAATTTTAAAATTACAGTGCAGCAGTACAATAAATACATAGACATAGATGTCATCAGAAATACCTTGTTAATATTTTATACTTACACTTTTTAAAATAAGTAGCCCTTTTTGGTAAGCTGTCAGTTCTCATATTAAAACATTCTTTCCAATTTCTTCACCTGAAAAGGTATGGCTAATGAGAGATTTTAGAGCTAATCAATATATCATAAATATTTAACATAGGCAGAAAGAAAAATAAGTTGTGAAACCAAACTGTCTATTACGTTTTAATTATTTCTGTATTTTGAAATAAACCAGCATTTCAGTGTTAAGCTGGAAAAAATGTCTGTCAAGATTTGTAGTTAGTCTTTCAACTTAGTATATTGCATCCCTTATTTACAGACACTAAGCTTTGGTAAACTCAAAACACTTGTAATGTATGACTTGTAGTAATTTCTCAGCCACTGAACTAACCGTACTGTCTCCTGAACTTTATGACTCTGGTAACTGTGTTCTCTTTGTTACCAGTAGATAGTTTGTGCCAGGAAAATTTGACTGTGACACAAGAATTAATTTATGTAAACTTTGGGTTTTTTAATATCAACAAGGCTTTATCATACTTTATTTGGCAAGCTAGACTTTAAGCTTTTCCCTGTAGAGCTGCATCTCTACATTCCAAGCTTGTACTTTCCCTTTTTTCCCATTATTCAGCTTAAGGTAGTTTTCTAGTGAAAAATACTAACATTATAAGAAGCATTCTGTTTGTAAAATATTTTAACAGTGTTCAATATTCTGAAGCACTGGAAACTGTGTTTTCTAATCTATTGGGATATTGGAAATGTTTCCCTAAAACTTACATTCTGTTTCATTGATTATGTGAGAACACAGTTCAACAACAAACACATTTCTGTCTGTAAGACCAAGAAGGGAAGTATGAATATAAAGCTGTCATCTCCTGAAGGACAGGGGAGCAAGCTGAAAGCTTACTTTGTTTGAAGTAGTTTAATGTTTTTTGTAAGTTGGTCAGTATTAGCTCAGTCATGCATATAACTATGTTCTTGCTGTCCTTGAAATAATTTCTGAATGCAGTCGTGAAAAATCCATTTTTCTCCTCCCATGCTTGCACTCCTGATGTTTTCTGTATATTTTAAAGCTCTATTACTCATTTGCAAATTTCCAGCAGAGCTGCCTGTGCATCAGCTCAAGTCATACTGTCAGTCTGCATTGCCCTGTTGAACTTTTTGTCACCATGACCTAGAAGTTTATCACCACTTATTTTCACTTGTGTTTAAAAAGAACTTTCCATTAAGTGCTCAGTTAGTCATGTAAACTGTTTTTTTATATTTGTATTTGTTTACTGCATCCTTAATTATTCAAAACATCTGCTCAGCTATGTCCATAACTAAAACAAGAGTGTCACAGCAATACCATTCATTACATGATTTCCAATCACAGATTGGTACTTTGCTGAATTTGGATGTTAGATATGAGAACACTATATGAAAGCATTGCATATGTTCTAAATTAACTGCTCCCCAAAACCAATGGGGGTTGAACCCCATGCTGCTCCATACTGCAGAGATAGGATGTAGCGTCCTACTGCAAAGAGTATGCAATTTGAATGGGTGAAACAGAAGTGAGGTGCAAGATTATGAAGCTCAAGCAAGTGCAGTGACAACAGTTGTTGTATCACAACCGTGACATTTGCTATGGGGTTAAAGTGCAGAGATAAAGGACAGAGGAAGAAATGTGGGCAGGAAGGACAAAACAGAAGAGGATGGAGTAGGTGGACAGTGAAACTTAGGTAGGAGAAACAACAGACAAAGAGGGAATGAAGCAAAAGGAAGGTCAGAGCTCTGGAAGGCAAGTCCCTGCCTCAGCTCATTCTACTGACCAGAATCCCTGGCTGGATTCTCTGTGCAGTTAATTATTTCTTTGCACTCAACATACACAGTTATCCAAGAATAAATGTTTTACTTTGATTTAGTATCTTCTGTAGTTCAGATTAACTCTTATATGCCAACATACCTCCTACTGTTAAATTTTTACCGCCATTAGCCATCTACTAAAATACAGGCCATCTGGGGAGGCTGTGGAATCTCTGGCTCTAGAGGTTTTCAAGATCTGACTCATCAAAGCCATGAGCAACCTGGTCTGTATGCAGTATTAACTTTGCTTTGAGCAGGAGGTTGAATTAGGTGACTTTCTGAGGTCACTTTCGACCTGAATGATTCTGTGGTTCTGTCTCTGCATCTCTGAGTGTTTAACACTTGCTGAGTAACAAAAAAAAAAATATTACATGCATGAGTCTTATGGAAAAAAGATGGATCTAAGATACACATTGGGAGTGGGGAGGGGGGAGGCAGAAAATGAGGAGTAAATAATAAAATACTATTGGGAAAGTTGACTGTTAAATCTGTTCAAAAGAAATTCAACTCTGTGTTGTAGAAGTGAAGAAACTGTGAATGAAAAATGAAAATTAATATCTCATAAATATTTTGCAGATAAGACCAAAACCTTGGCATCTGTAACTAATAATGCAAATACCACAAGTACACAACCAGCATCAGTAGCTGTGACAGCACCTTCAGTAGCCGGTGGCCAAGGGGCACCTACATCACCTGTTAAGAAGGTAAAATCAAATACCTTTCTCGTGATTTTAGATTTCTGTTCTTCTGTGTAAGCATGCATTTTTTCATTCGTGTATAAAAAAATGGATTGGGTTATCCAGTGAACTGATGAAAATAGTCACAGATTCCTACAATATTTTGTGTTTTTCTGCAGAAACTATTTCCATTTTTTTAAATTTTGAAGGGTTTTGATTCTAAACAGAGATCTGAAATACGGAACTATAAAATGGCTTATAAAAGCTTTAAAAAACAACAACAACAACAAAAAAAGCAAAATCTGGAGTTCTTGTTGTCCTGGAGCTAAACTTCATATTTTGAAAGTCTTTTTTATGCCAGGCTCCTGGAAAATTTTTCGAAACTACAGTTCTGATGTCTTTCTCTGTGCCTATATTTGTGATGCACTTAGGGCAAGGGAGGCAGGCATGACTAAGGTACTTTCAGGAGTCTATAGAAGCAGAAATTAAAAATGATACCTGAAATAAGAAGTAGAAAGTGCTCTAGGTCCCAAACCTGATTTCAGTATGGTTAGGACCTCATGGAAGGGCTAAAGAAGTGGGACACGTAATTTATTCAATGCAGGGCTCAAAAACACCCTCGCAAAGCCATATTGCATGCACGAAGCTTTTTACAGCTTGATGTGAAAAGTTAATTGAAATGAATTTTAGGTTTGCTTGTCAAAGGGAAGATGTGTATGTCTGGCACAAAACTTTATAGTAGATAATGCTTAGTGGTATACAAGTCAAATTTTTAGAATATCTAAGCAAACTGGATAGTAAGCCAGTGAGGCTTCCTTTGTCAATCATTACAACTTTTCTATAAAAATCATAATCAAAGCATAACCCTCTACTGATGCTTCTAAAAAGCGTGTTCAGGAGAAATGGTAGCCATGATATACTGAAGCCACAGTAGAGAAAGAAGATGTTCTGGGCAAATGGTATGTATTGTATTTAGCTCACAGGAGCTTACTGGATTTATACTTTCATATTCACAGTAGAACCTAATATTGATTCATCTTACAAAGTACACTTTAATGTAACAGATGCAGGGAATGTATTACCCAACTGCATCTTATTATGTGATTCTGTAAAACAGGGTTGGGCCAACCTTCCTGATCCTCAAGAGCTGCTTACAAAAATCATTGTGACTGATGCCCACAAGATTGATCCCAAAAAACCATGAGAGCAAAAGGGGAGTTGTGGGCATGGCTCACTCCCCTCTCTGAGCTTTGTGGCTGGGCTCCCTAGCTATCTGCTAGATTCCAGGGTGATCTTGTGACAATCTAAACAGTTCCTGCTGGGTCGGTAAGGAATTACTGTTCTCTGTCATGGGAGCTGCATTTGCATTGCTCAGGAGCTGCGCACAACTCAAGACATGCAAGTTCTCCACACAAACCATAGCAAATGTGTGAGGGAGGGAAGACGACGTGAGTAGTTGCTCATGTGCCTAACTGGAATGAGTTCAAAAATACATGGTGTGAATTTTACTGCAAGGAAATAGGCCTAGTCTATATAGTTTATTTTTCTAAATCATTTCAGTAATACATGCATTTGTGACAGTTGGGCAGTTGAACTGATGTGCTCTCCACTCAGTTTTTTTACTGCACTTAATTGTCTTTGCACACTGGAGATCCTAAGATATCTAACAATTCAAACACTTCATTTTTCTTGTAATTGTCTGAACTTCATCCTGAAGGCAAGTTTCCTAGCTTGTCCCTTCCAGTCAATTTTTTTATATTGTGCAAAACCCTTCTAAGCTGTATGACCTTCAGCAATGGGATGTTACCAAGTTGTTGCTAGCTGGGGTGTGGCTTGAAATTCCAGAGTTGAATATCAAATGGACATAATTTTTGGTACATGATTAAGTGACTATGTATGGGGGGGGGGAAAGGGGGACATGACTTTTTTATAAGAAGAAGAAATAAGTATAATTTTAAGCTGAATCGCCTTTTATAAATCATTACTACACAGGCATTTGTTGTAGTTTTATTATGTGGTAATTAATGGCTAATATTTTGGTCTTAAAGGTAAAAGGTGAAGGTTAAAAGTCAACTGTCGTTATCTTTCCAATACTGTATGTGAAAAATTCAAGGCCTTCCCTAGCTACAAAATAAATGCACGTTTATATCAAGACTGATCATCTTGTAACATAGCAGGTACATGTGGTCTAGAGAAGCAGTTGCAGCTCATATCAGTGAACAAAAAGGCTTTAAACTGTTTTTACTAATGAAGGTAAAACAGCACTGTGTGTGTGATCTTGCACCTCCTCTTGCACCTGCCTTTTTAGGTTTGCACCATCTGTGCTACTGCTGCTACTCTTCTGCTTTTACACGGTACATGGCCAAACTACATGTTGCTCGCAAGTGGTGCAGATGCAGTGTACTAAGATTGAATTCAGGTTTTATTCAGTCTATATGGTATTCAGTAATGCTGCTTTCTGTCTGAGGGTACTGAAGTAAGGCAAGTTTGGGAGTGAAGGTATGGGTTTGACAGCTAAGCTAGCACGGGATGTGATTAAGGGATACGAATGAAATATGATAAGAAGATAAGAGGTATGCTAGTGGGAATCTTCCCGTATTCTCAACCATATGAGGATATAGGCCATGGACCTTGTTAGGTCAACAGGCTTTGCTGTCCTCTTCTATGCAAACTGTAATTCTGTCTCTGAATTAGCTAAACATGCTGTGTTGTGTTTAATAAGAATCTGTTACTAAGGTTTTAAGTCTCTTACTGCTTTTTGGTATTTTGTGCTGTAATGAAGAGCTACATAACATAAATGTAGAAGCAAACTATGTGGTTTTAAAACAACCTTTTGTTTCTATTTTCCATTCTTTCAATCTTCATCTTTGTCTTGTCTTAATTGGCTTTAGTATGATTTCATTCCTCCTATCATGCCTGTCGTGGAGTCAGTAGATCCTGCATCATGGAGGCAGGGCTTGCGCAAAACTGGCATTGTTCTTGTGCCGAATAAGGGTGAAAAATCTATGGTGAGGTTCTGGTGTGCCCAGGTTTGTGTACAGGTTGCAAAATAACATATTTAATCAAAATGTTGGTACTGGATTTGCATGTTTCTAAGTTTGCATCTCATGATCACAGCGTGTATTACAAAGTGTGGATTTTTCTAAGCTAACTTTTAGAGGAGTAGTATACCTTGACCAGTCTTACATTTCTTATCTCATTAACTAATGTAAGAGAATAGTGTGTAGGTTGTCTCTCACCACAAATCCCCTACGAATTCAAAACTTCTATGATTATTAAAAACGGTTGTGTTGTCAAATCTCCACAAGGACATGAATTACCACAGGTAATTTAAATTACTAATGTAAATTCATTTAAATGTGTTTTATAGTTTCCAACATCTACAACCAAGGTTTCTCCCAAAGAAGAAGAGAGGAAAGATGAATCTCCTGCTTCATGGCGGCTAGGTCTTAGAAAAACTGGTAGTTATGGTGCACTTGCAGAGATTACTGCTTCCAAAGAAGCTCAGAAAGAAAAAGACTCTGCAGGTGTTATGCGTTCTGCTTCAAGTCCTAGACTTTCCTCTTCATTGGACAACAAAGAAAAGGTAATTATTGTCAGTGTGAAACAACATTTTGAGGAACTGATCTACCTTACTTAGTATAGATATTTATGATGTATTGTAGAAGTAAGACTGTACTACACATCTGTTCTTTACCAAAATTGCAAAAAGTTAAATTATGCAGCTTCTGTGTAGTCTGTTTACAAGTCTGATAGGCACCTTCATGGTCTGGTGACCTCATACATAGTTCTGGGGCTTTTCCCTTTTTGGGACTTGCAATGCTGGAGTAGTTTTTACAGTTAAGGGGGATCAGAGTTTCAGCATCACTTGGAGAGTGATGTTGAAAGAATCTTATAAAAAAGAATCTCTTTTTTTATTCCATAGTAATTTTTTATTTACAAAAATTTAGTTCTGTAACGAAACACGAATACACTGAACCAAGTGAAGTCCTAATTTGGAACAGGTAACTGTACAGCATAGAACTTGTGGTTCTGTTTCAAGTACAAATGTTTAAATGTTTTCAGGATTAAGAATACTACTATGCTATACTACATAAAAATACTAAACCAGTTGTTTTCATTAATCAGTGTTGGAATTGTACTGCAGCAAAGCAGAAAAAAGAGATACCAAGTAATTTGCATCACTAGAATGAAAACAGTTTTGTTTTCCTATAATCCTTATGTCCTTATGATATTTAACTAAAGCTTAAAACTCATTTATATAATTGCATCACAATAAATACAGCTGAAGTTGTCATAGTGATGATTTTCCAGCCAATAGCAGTAAAATCAATAATAATAACACTTAATAAAAAATACATGTCTTTCAGGAGAAAGATGGAAAAGGAACTCGACTTGCATATGTTGCACCTACAATACCAAGACGACTGGCCAGTACCTCTGACATTGATGAAAAAGAAAACAGGTGACACTGATGTTATAATTTCTGTTAAATATAAAATTACTTGATTTTGGAGTGGTTTTGAAGGTTTTTGAACTTGTAAATTATAATGACTCTTTTTAAAATCCAAATTATTATATGACAAGAGCAGAACTGGGCAATGAGTGTTGTCTTCTTGGGGGAAAAAATAAAATACAAAATACAAAATCATAAACATTAAGCTACTGAAGGGTGCTAAAAACATTTTACTGCTTTGTGTTGAGCCGTGGAGTGCTGCTCCTGGGCTCCATTATTCTGATAATAATAAAATGCTGTATTTCTTTGCTTAAAATCATATAATGCAGCAGCAATTATTTACAAAAATAAGTTACAAAAGTTATTCCATTTTTTTTTGTTTAAACATTGACCTTTCATCTTCTTTTGGATATTTTTACTTTCTTTGCTGATATTTCTCCTGTAGCTTTCACTACAAAAGAAACAGAAAGTTTAGGTGCATAGACCTATTGTTACCTGTTAGGATTTGGGGTACTTTAATGGCATATTTACATTGCCAGAACCTTCCCATTTTTCACTTCTCTCCTTTATTGAGGCTCTACTTGAACATTTTCTTGAGTTACTATAAAATGCATAGTACAAAACTTAGAAGTCTCCCTAATGTCTTGTTTCTGTTGGATTGCATCTAGATAGCTGAATGTTGGATGACCTGAACTGAAAATCCTCTCATTGCTCAAAATGTGCTATTATAATCATTGTCTATAAGACTGATAAATCTCCTTATGTCTGAAGAGGAGCTTCTTTGTTGCTACTCATGAAAATGGCTCATTTCAGCACAAACACAAATACTGGCTTTTCTTATGCTTGCAGAAGATACAGAAGATACAACAGAATACTGTTGCCTAAATTTATTCTCTGGGTGACAAATTCTGTTTCAAACCAGGGATATTCCAGCTCTCATGGTCCCCTAAAGTTCAGCTTAGTTTGTTACATCTCTCATGTTACTTGGCCAGATTTTTTTAATCTGTAATTCTATAACAGGGCAGTTTGGAGTTTCTGTTTGTCTGGAGTACTATATTCTTTGAGGCTGGGTTTATCGGTTTTGGTTTGTTTATAAGAGAGATTATTATTATTTCAATTTTTATTCTTTTGAGATCTTCTCAAAAACTCTTGTTCTCCAAAAGTGTCTTAACTAGACGATACCTTAAGATGGGGATAAATATTTCATTGCAGTTTTATTTCTTAGAAGCTGTTATTGCTTGTTATAAAGGGATTAAATTTTGCTTCAGTGTTGAGGTTTATTTGTGTCCTTGACATGCCACTCTTATCCATCGTGGCTTATTCACAGACATAGTTCCAAAAGTGGGTACTGGCAATAGCGTATTTTTCCTCATACGCATTGGGTGAACTGGGGTCATCAGTCTCATTAGTCCCTGTGCTGACCAAACAGTTGAACTGAGAACTTTCTGTATTCCTTGGTGTACCAGAGATGAAGCCTACTTTTAGGCCAGCCTATTTAGGCACCAATATTTTGCCCAGTGGCAGACAACCCAGCTAACTTACTTAAAACCGTAAGAGATTTTTGACATTTAGCATGACCTTCCTTACATATAGAGTTTAGCCATCTGCCCTACAGGCACCTTAATAAATTATTAAGGTTTCTGCCTTTGTCCCAGATCTTTGTCCTTGTTGCTTAGCTTAATGCTGAGTTCTTGTTCTACTTGTCTGAACACCTGCTTGTCTAGCTTATTGATGATGTAGTATAATCCAGCTAACCTCCTACTGTGAGTAATGGAAAGGACTTCAAGATGAATCCCAGATGGGCTTTTAGATTAACAAATCTCAGGCATCCAGCCTCAGTCGACTAGCCAATGCTACAGCAAATGAGCTGAAGTCTGTGTAGTGTCTTGGCAAGGTAAAACCTTCAGCAATTATGAAAAATCTGTCATGCAGCAGGACCTTTCTGTGGTAGATGATAGCTCAGAATTTGTATTTCTCTTTGGTGGTAAGAAGTAACACTGCATTGGCTTGTGTTTGATAATTTTCTAAAGTTGTGTTTGTGATGGCAGAAGTGCTAGCATAAATTTTTGTGCAAAAAGAGGTACATTCTGAAGGCCAAAGGTATCTGAACATAAAATACATCTTTACAAAATTTTGGTTTATTTTCCCTCTCACACCTGGTTGCCTTTTATGTATAGTTTTGTGGAAGACTTTTTTTTTCTTCCTTCTATCTGAACTTTACTTAAAATCTTGAGCTGACAGTTTTATTAGAAATTCAGCTTTTTGCATCTCAGTATCAGTTTTCAGGGTAGTTTTTCTAAGCAGATTTTTGCAAGGTTCTTTCTTGCTGCTATAAACTGCAAGGCAGGCTGGAAATTCCTTATGACTAAAGTAATGTCAGCTAGTGATACATGACAGGCAACTCAGGAATGGCTACTGCAGGCCTGTTTACACTAGTCTGCAATATCATGAGTTCTAAAGGCTAGTCAGCTCTTGAACTACTTCTTGTAACATCCAAGAATGAAAAAACCCATGAAATAAATTTCTGAAAAAATGCAGTACTTTTCCCTTTATTGCACTGTATAATCTCAGGAGCAAACAGAAAAGCCTCTTGTTCCTTTTTGAGGAAAACAAAGCCAGCAATGGTCACAGGTAAAAGCTGATGATTGATTTCACGTTGATTAAGTCCTCTTTAGCAGTTCTTCTTTTGATGCTACTTTTCTATTATATTTTTAACAGTGTTAGTATGAATGTAGTATTTTTCCACAGGAGCTTGAAAATGATTGTCCATAAAGGTCATTTTATTCCTGTTCTGCATTGTTATGTTTATTTAGTCTTTAATTTGAAACTCCTTTTCAGCTCACATGAAGAACAACCTTTAATACAAGTTTCCTAAAATAAAATCTTTTTTTACAGGGACTTGTCTGCTAGCTCAATACGTGGTGGCAGTTCCTACACCAGGAGAAAATGGGAGGAAGATGTCAAGAAAAACAGTTTGAATGAAGGTCCTACATCATTAAATACAAGTTATCAAAGAAGGTGTGGGATTTTCTCTATTTTTTTAAATCAAAATAAGTTTGCAAATTAAAATAAACAGATTAAGTTTTGTATCATTTTGTAAGGACAGTTTAAAATTGAATGGTGACATGTGGAAAGTTGTTCATGATAATTGCAAAGTAGGTACTTACACTGATGCAATGCTTGTGCTGATTTTAAAGCTCCATCATTTTTACTAGCTTAGAGTGTTGCAGCAACTGCTATATAATTAAAATTATATGCTTCCTTTTTCCTCTTGTTTATTTCAGCTTGATGTTTGTTTGACTCTCTCTAGATTCGTTCAGTAGCAAAAGATAACTATTTCAAATGTTGGAATAGAAGTAATTCTGCACAGTATCTGAAAAGAAAAGGGGAAAAGTATTGTCTCTGTTGAATTATTTTTTTTTCATATCAAAGGTCTTGGGCTGCTCTCTGTAGTGGTAGATTATTGCCACACCTACCTTGAGCATCAGCATCATAGAATGCATACTTAAAACCAACTTGAATGCAAAGTAAATGATGATTAATGGAGAATAATTTTCAGGTGTGTGTGGTTACTATCTTGCAGGATTTTCTCAGAAGGAATCATATCCTGCAAATATATATGATTAACTTTACTCCATTGTATAGTTTCAATGTAGCTACATGGGTAAAGTTCTTAGCTGGATTTAGTGGAGTAATAAATATCTAAAATGAATAGATCAAAACAAAAGATTGTCATTCAGGTAGCTAAGCTGCATATTGATATGTGCTGGTGATGTCCATGGTGATAGATACTTAACTTTTTTTTTGTCTTGACGTTGATGTTGTCAGTGGCATGTAGTCAGGATCTTTCATACAGCATAATACATCTTACATCTGTGTTAACCTCCTGCCTTAAAAAGAAAACTCAATTTTCCTAACCTCAGGTTTAACAAATATGTTGCACAGGTTTTCTGGATGAAAAGTATTAACAGTTGATATATGAGAACAATCTTTGCATGTTAGCTTTTATCAACATTTGTGCTCCAGTGTCCAAACAACATGTACTCATCGCTTTTAAATTGCATGTGGTGCTTTAATGGTGTATTTCCGTAGTTGTTCTTGTACAATTCTTTTTTCTTTGTCATTTTAGAATTTATAGTAATGCAAAAAAATTATCAATTACAGAATGACAAAGAAGCATCTTTCCTTAAATCTTTTGGAATTAGTAATATGATACTCTGGCTGTCCTAACTGTGCTTTCTGAGGTTTAGTCATGGACAAGCAACCTGACTTGGTAATGCAATATTTGTTCAGCCAGAACCAGTGAATAAAAATGTGGAAACCACTGGGTCTTCTTTACATCTTGAAGAGCAAAGGAGAAGCATGAGTGGGAGGTTAATCTTTCTGGGTATGATTAAAAGTTTAAAAAAAAAAAAAAGCAGTACATTTAATTGGTTGAAAATTATAAGAGGAGTAATATTGATGACATTTTCTGACAAGCTGTGGAGTAAAATTCTGCATTTTCTGAGGTATTCAGTGTGGGTGAAACAGCAGTTTAAAAATGGGACACTGAGGACCCTACATGAATACTTTAGTAGATGCGATCAAGACAGTCATACACAAACCAATGAGATTCCATTCTTTATCTCCTCTTCCCATGGAGAGATGGTCGGGACTAAGGGACACTTCTGCTGCCATAAATTAAAAGTCCTAGTCAGGGAAATAGTGAAGAAAATGGCTTTTGAAAATGCTTCTTTTACCCCAGAAGTTTCCGAGACTCAACTGAGACACAGAATACATGGGCAGGAATTTAATGGATCATTCACAGCTTTGTGATATTTTATTGAGCAAAGATAAGCAATACAAACGCATCCATTGTACATGTCTCTCCTTCAGTGGCTCCTTTGGTAGAAGACAAGATGATTTGATTAGTTCTAATGTTCCAAGTACTGCATCAACAGTTACCTCTTCTGCTGGTCTTCAGAAAACGCTGCCTGCCAGCACAAACACTACTACAAAGAGTACAACGGGTTCTACTTCAGCAGGTGTACAAAGCAGGTAATGGCACCAGCGCACTTCTTTTCTTCTTTTTTTTTTTTTTTTTTTTTTTTTTGTCAGGTCTACTGTGTGCTTATGTATGTGCATGCGTTCTTGTTTAGTAGATCTTGGGGCTCTGGATTTTTTCACTTTCCTGTTAAATTTGTTATAATTTTATACAATTTGGCTCAAATTGTGAATGGCTTTCTCCTGTAAAGTGACAGCCATGTTGGTATAAAAGAATAAATCCAATGTTAGAAGGGTGTGAAGAATAAAAGTTCAGTTATTGTGAACTTCTCTATTCTTAATTTATTCAATTTAATAGCTCAAGTTGAGCTTTCACAGTAGAGACATTTCTCAGTTTGCTTTTAAAAAAATCCATCCCTCAATTTACGTGTTACTAGTTGTTTAGTAAAGTGCTTTCATTGTTTAGCTGTTTCCTTTTCTCTTTTTTTGTGTTGCTGCTTGTTATGCTGTAGTACCTCAAATCGTTTGTGGGCTGAGGATAGTACTGAGAAAGAAAAGGACAGTGTTCCTACAGCAGTGACCGTTCCTGTTGCACCATCTGTTGTAAATGCTACAGCCACTACCACAGCCATGACTACAGCTACTTCTGGCACTGTGTCCTCAACATCAGAGGTCAGGGAGAGACGGAGGTGTGTAAAGGTCCTAAGAGTAATGTTGCTCTTGTACAAAAGTTGTATTTTTTTCTTATTTAAAGGATGTGTTGGTTACCACAAATTTGGATAGTACGTTATGTAAAGCAGTGTTGTTTGCTTCCTTTGTATTGAAACAATTAGCAACGTGCCTCAATTTATGTAAGAGGGTAGTACTGATAGAGACCATTCTTGAAATTTAAACTTTGATATTGTATATTTTTGAGTGGCCTTGGGTTCTCATTTGGTATGCAGTATTTTCATATTTGTGTTTCCGTTAATACATTAAATGAGCCTTCTTAAAAATATCCATAATGAAACTGCACAAATACTGAATTAAAAATAAGAAAATCAATAATTAATTACTTGCTGCAAGTGCATTGCTGCTGATTGAGCTACTGTGCCCCAGGCAGTATGCTAGTAAGTTACAGCATGGCATTTTTTCAGTCATTTTCTATGCCTGGCGCTACTGAGAAAAGACTTGAACCCAACACATTCTGTTTATTTCATTGCGCATCATTTAGGGTCTCTTCTATTTGAAACGTAATATGGAGTTATAAATGCAGTGGTTTAAGTATGAAGAATGAGTAAGAATCTGATGTAAATCTCATTTTAAGAATACGCTGTTTTTTCTGTTATAGTTACATGGAGGATGAGTTAAGATTGGTGCATATTTATGTTTCCATAAAAAGTTGTTATCTGCTATTTATGGAGGCAAAAATAAGATTTCATAAGGTTGTTAATTCCTGTTAGCTTTCCCTGGGTTTTTCTTCTTCTGGATATTTATAAATGTTTATCCTTTAACCCGTCTGCTGAAATGCAAGTTCAGATTTTTGTGTTGCTCCTGTAGTAGTTTTGAAATGTAACTCCTGTATCAGTGCCAGGTGTATCTCTGTGTGTTCACAGAGGTAATGAAGCTGTTCCGCTGTACAGAAGAAACCTGGATTCTTTTGGTTCTCTTAAGGCAGCAACGACATTTAAAGATTCCTCATAGCTTTAGGCCTACTTAGGCTAGTCTGCTTTCCTCCTTTTGTTTCCAAAACTGAGATGAAATAACTTCTGTGAAATGGGGATTATTTTTTTTTTCTTCCCCACCATAATTCAGGGGGTGCCCACAAGCGAACCTACATTTTCCAAAGCAAAATTTGACTGAAGCTGACAAAGCAAAAGCAAAACCAACCAAATGCATCTTTTTTTCAAAAGTAGTTCCAATTTTAAAATGCAAGTGCTACTTCAGTTTCTTACAAGCTAGAAAAGCAAGGATATTTAGAATTAAGGCTTTTGCTGTCTCGTTTGCTCTCACTAGTGTGTGTATACTAATGCACATATACTACATACGTTTTAGATACCTGAAATTCCTTGCTTTTATCTGACTCTGGGCTGATTGTGTAATATACTGTTGCATATGCATTCTTGATGGCATATTGAAATATCCATTAAGTCTTAGAAATCAGCAGAACTGGAATAATTACTGCGTGCATGTGAGAAGGTAGTGCTCTAAATATCAGCACATGCGTATCTATCTGTATACATACAGATACATATATATGTGCATGTGTGTGTATCTGTGTTTATATGCACATGAAAAACTTGTCTGTATATGAAATATTATATGCTAAATATTTTCTTAAGAAATGAAGTTGGTTAACCCATATTTATAGACTGAAAGTGTGTATTCAGAAAGTACATTTGAAATAGTATTTCAAAGAATATTTGAAAAGTAAACACATAAACTACTTTCAGTAAAGAAGCATGTAATAGTGTATCCTTCTGGAGTAGTTGAAGACGCTATGTTCTTTATCTAATTTTTAGGATCGGTTTAGAGAAACAGGGAAGAGAATGACAAACTCGAACCTTTAAACCTTTGTATCATGAACACTGCATAGGTAACGTGTGTGGCACACACGCGGGGTGTTGAGGAAGGGCGCTTCCCACTCCGACAGCAGCTGTAGCGTGCACCTGGCAAGTTGAGAGTTTTCATTTTCCCTCAGTGAGGTTCAACATGTTTCAGATTTATTGGAAGGCAGGAGTATGTACGCCAGTTACTAAAGAGCAAGTTATATGGAGTCATTTGTAGCAATTTTCAAGCCCTAAAGATTACACCTGCTCTGCAACCAGAGCTTCCGAGGTAGGTAGTATTTTAGGTCGTGTTAGCTACAGCAGCTAACAGGCACCCTTTTCCTAATATAGCTAGGGCCTAGGGCTCTAGCAATATGGAGAATCTATTAAAAAAATGGTGTTTCCAAGGGAACGGCATAGGGAAATCAAATTAATATAGTGGGGGGGGGTTTTTTAAGATATGTCATAAGGGGATGTTTCTACATTTGTAAAAATAGCAGCTATCTATAAAGATTTTCCTGCGTTTTGGGGGTAATTTATTTAGTAGAGAGAGAACATGGGTAGTAATCCATAGGTCTGTGTGATGAAAATTTATTTTAAAAACTTAGAATTGTTTTAGAACTGGCTTTAGTACGTGCTATGTGTGTGTCTATATTTCTTTACCCCAGTTGCCTGGGTTGGAGAATTTCTTTAAAGAGGCCAGACTTTTATGTCTACTCCAGTAGCCTTTTGGCTTTGATTACAATTACCTGCTTACTCTGAAGGATTTTTGTGTGTTTCATGAGGATTTGTTTTTCAGCAAAGTTTTTTCAAAGGGAGTTGGATTACTCAAAGCATGGATGATTCATGTGAAAGTATAGTAACCACCTTCTCAAGGGTTTTTAATCTCTGATACAATAGATGGTATAATTAGGTTTTCTGCATAAGCAGTACATTTAGCTTTTTCTAAGTTAATACACACAGATATATTTTGTGTATAAATGCGTAACTGGCTGAATCTCTGAGGTCTTCTACCCCTATGTTAGTAAAGCAGTGAAAAAGCTTAAGTCATATTTAGAGAAAATGGTAAAAACAAATCTAAAGTAGGAAAACACTATTTTAACTGAGTTGTCAGGCTGCTATCTTGATGAATAGATCATTATGATACAGATGAAATGTCTAATATGTAATCCATCTTATATAGTTAAAGATTTTCTTCTAACTGCTTTGATTTTCTGTCGTACCATGTGGTGGGGTTTTTTTCTGACCATTTAATGTATTTGTACAAAAATTATCATTTGCCAATTATGTTTGTAATTAACTCTTTAGATCATACCTCACTCCAGTACGGGATGAAGAGTCAGAGTCCCAAAGAAAAGCTAGATCCAGGCAAGCAAGACAGTCTAGAAGATCTACGCAGGTATAGTTTTATTACAGCTTGTACATTTATGGGAACATGCCCATGTAGCTCCCTGAGTACAGTGAAGTTTTAATTTCCCAGTAAAGCTCCAAATAAACTTATGGGTCTTCCTGGTATAAAACACCTTGTAGCAGATGAAATAAAGCCTTTTTTCCCTTTCTTCCCTGCAAGCTTTAGGACCCTTCATTGCATACTGAAAGTTGCTTTTTCTAATCACTGAAGAGTGACTTAATACAAATTTGAAAGCACAGATTCCTCCACTGAAAGGAAGTTTTTGATTGCATTATGGTAAAATGGCTTACTCAAATAATTGTATCTGATATTACATAGATGTTTAAATGTAAGACTTCTAATTTTTCAAGAACTAACAGCTGTATGCTTCTGGCTGAAGACGTAATACTTGAGAAATAGGCATAGCTAGCGTACTGTATTTACTTCTATTTCTTTTTTCTGTGCACGGACTATTGAAGATAATGTGATTGAGCTGACCAACATAGAGATAGCTAGTAAGTTCCATGGCATAGAAAAAAATACATTCAACCTGGTTTTTGCGGACATGGATGAATACCAAGGAAGAGTTTTTTGTTACTTGCTAATCTGGAATCTAACTGCATGCCTCCTTTCAACATTTCTCTTAGTTTACATCCTGATGTATTTGGTGGTTCTTCCCAATTTCTGTCAGAACTACCTCATATTGAACTGCATCCAGTGCAATCCTGACATAGGAAAGGTTGTAATAGTAGCAAAATAGATTATCTCTAAATGGTACTTGAACGCTCTTTGGGCAGTGGAACAATTACCAACCACTATTTTGTGGAGTGTGTCTACCCATCTCTTCTTGTGTCAGCTTGACAAACTAAGAATAATCAGCAAATAGTCCCTGGATAAAACAGCACAAAGAAATGCTCTACCCATTGTCCTTATCTGCTTTAAGGCCAAGTCTGTATCTACATTGTTTACTGATGTTACTTTCAAATCTTTGCAGTTTTACACCCCTCAAATATTTCTGGTGACCTTTCCTATTGAGAGATCCACACTGCTTGATACCGGTTTATCTTACTGGAGGTTTTTTTTACCTCTTGATACTAATCCAGAGCCCTGAGAGATGGTCAAACCATGGGCCAACTATTGTTGAATCTTTACAGTGCAGAAGCTACAAGGAATTACTGTATTAAAACATTATCAACACAAAAAGTAATTAAGTAACTGATAAGCTGCAAAGTTGGCTTTGAAGAATAGGTCCCCAAGTGTTTTGAGAAGTATCTCAGTAATATACATCAACTGAAAAGTGCAGTAAAGTTGTCTTCAAAAATTATTTGATTTTTGGGCTTATTTCAAAACTAGTTTTTAGCCTCAGAATAACAAGGAAATAAGGAAAGTTGCAACTTTTCTCTGGTGCTGTCAATGCAAATTTTTTTGTGTTGTTGACCTAAAAATCCAGTTGCAGTGAGTGAATTTGTAAAACAATATTTCTGTAAATTTTATCAGTATTGTATTTTTAGAGTTCTTACAAAAAAAATTAGTATGCTTATGATGATATTGCAAGGATCAATAGGTTCCTAAATGATTTCTACATGATTTTCTACGTGATCTGTATGCACTAGTTCAACTAAAAATGGTGTTGCTGGAGAATCGGTGGTAGATGACATTAGACCAGACGCGTGCCAATAATTGAAGAGGGATGTTTGGTTCCAAGATTCAAGAGAAAAGCTTATAGCTAGAATATATAGGTAACATTTATTTCTTAATAGATAGAATCAATTGTCTTAAGCTGAATTTTCTATTTAAGATATGTATTTACATAATGTGTTCATCTACATCTAATACGAGTGGTATATTGAAGTGTTGTTTGCTGATTGCTGTTTTCACAGGGTGTAACACTGACAGATCTTCAAGAAGCTGAAAAAACTATAGGAAGAAGTCGTCCCACACGAACCAGAGAACAAGAAAATGAAGAAAAAGAAAAAGAAGAGAAAGAAAAGCAAGACAAAGAAAAACAAGAAGAAAAGAAAGAATCTGAAACTAAAGATGATGATTACAGACAAAGATATTCCCGAACTGTTGAAGAGGTATTTTCATGATGGGTTTCTTTAGGTAGAGAAATTATATGAATCTTAACTCCAACTACAATTTTATAATTTTGATACTACTATAAGAATTATTTATATATTTAAATGTTTTAATATCCTATGGTTTATATTTGTTTAATCTCTGTAAATTAATTTTGACATTTTTCTGCTGAATAGCCATATCATCGCTATAGACCAACTTCAACTTCAACGTCTTCATCATCCACCTCTTCGCTCTCCACCTCCACTAGCTCTCTTTCAACTTCAAGTCAACTAAACAGACCAAACAGCCTTATAGGTATAACTTCTGCCTATTCTCGGAGTGGAACAAAGGAAAGTGAGAGAGGTAGGAGTACTGTTTGTGAAGGGGGTTTTTTTGTTGGTTTTAGTTGACAAAGGGCAGCTAATGTTTCTAAAGATACTTCAAAATGGGGTGCAATATGTAAGACCACTGAGGATGTATCCTACTCCATCTTCTGCAAGAAATTCCAAAACTTGCGTATAGAGAGGAAGAAAGATTTTCTGTACTTGGTGGTATTTTGCAGCTGTTCAGTGTGTGAATCTGGGTTTTCCACTGGTGGGTCGTAGAAACATCAAATATACTGCCACCAGAATCCACATAATTCTTTAATTTGTGCTTTAATACAGCAACTATAATAAAATGCCACATTTCAGAGTTTAAATACTTGCAGTATTGAGAAGAAATTTTACTTGATTAAATAGCTGCTAAATGACCGGGATTTTGTTTCAGTCCTTCCCCACTGACGTACTGGAACAATGCTTTAATGCTTTAAGGACCTCTCATGACTTCATGAGCAGCTGAAAACAAAGGCGGCAAGGGGATGCTTCTAGTGGTAGTGAGGTGTTACTTCAGAGTATTTAATGTAACCATACTTCCAGATACTTTAAGTGGTTTATCTAATCTTAAGCTGAGGATCAGATGTGTGATTCAGAGGTTAGAAAAAAGCTTTTCTCTGATGTCACAGAGTTTTTGCCCTCATTTCGAATGTGAATCATCTGCTATAATTCTCAGAAATACTGTACCTGATTAGTTGCCTGTCAAAGGAGGAGGCTGTTGACATACAGTGTGATCTCCTGTTCTCTTTTGGAGGCATTCCACTGTTGACTTGGGAGAAATACTTTAATTCAAGTTATTGATTCTGTATAGGATTACAGATCGAAATTGGTAATTTTGTTTTCCAGAGGATAAGCTTAAATCATTCATTGATCAAATCTCCATGAGGTGTATAGCAGTATTGCCATGTTCCCTAGACTGGTATTTTCTGAGGAAGTTATTGGGGCTAAGCTTCAGGGATATGCTTTCGGATTTTTTTCCCTCTGTCCTAACATGAACTGAAATTTGGATTAAGATTCTTCAGTAATGCATGTTTATTGGGTAGGAAACTGTCTAGACTGTTCTGTGGAAAAGATTTTCATGGCTAAATATTAGCTGCAGCGGTTTTTTTTTCAAATCATGACTTTAGGAGGAGAAATACATTACCATCTGAAAGCCCAGAGGTAAAATCATAATTTATTTAATCAGAAAAATTGTATATTCACCATGAATATTTGTATTTCCTTCTTTTCTGTTTAATTCTTGCTTCATGCTAGAATGTTTATTTACCTTTGAAGACCAGTGATGGTAAAGTTAAGTTAGTAGTGATGCTTCGATCTGAACTCAAATCTGTGGTTTCTTTCTTTAATAAAAGAATAGCAGACTGAATATATTGCATGATAATAGGTAAATAACTTCGGTTCAGGCAAGTTTTTTAATTTTTATTTTTTTTTAACAATTTAATTGTAGACATATAGGGGAGCAAACACAATCCTGAGGTATTATGCTGGGTTTGAATTGCAATTGCATTTCTTTTAAAGAAAGAGGAAATACGTAATATAGTATTATTCTAATCTAGAAGATCCCATTTTATTCTCTGTTAAAGGGGAAAATGGAGAGGACTGTGATGAGAAGGGGGACTCTAAGGAGGACTTGACATACTTTTAAAAGTTTTTTTCTAAATACATCTACTGACACAGGTGTTGTTTGAATTATTATGTGACAGTTCTTAAAACTGAATTTTAAGTCCGATTTGTAATGTATTACGGTTATATTGAAACATTTTGTTTAAGTGGCTGAGAAGGAATTAGTATTTTGCAGTTGCTATTCACCAATTGGAACAGTATTTACTATATTTTAGAGCTATGTTCCCAGGAATGTATATTACAGCAAACACTGCATGTGGTAAGAAGCTCTGTAGTGAATTTATTTCAGGTAAAAACATTACTTGTAAGCATTTTAAAGACTGAGAAGTATTTCAGAAAATTTTCAGAAAATTAGATTATGTCATACTTAAATGAACAAGAAAGTTGTTATTAACAGAAGGGGGCAAAAAAGAAGAAGAAAAGGAAGAAGATAAGTCACAGCCTAAGTCTATAAGGGAAAGGCGGCGACCAAGAGAAAAACGACGATCTACAGGAGTTTCATTTTGGACTCAAGATGTAAGTAAATGACTGCTACTGCTGATTTATAGCCTTAGCTTGTTGCAATATGGAATGCGTATAGTGTATTCTTAAAATAGAGAACAGTTTAGAGTAATACAGTATATTATGTATTCTCTGTTTCTCTGTTTAGAAGCTTTCAGGAGCAAAATAAAAATTGTCTAAGTTACATTGGTAATACGAAAAAGAATTCTAGAATACTGTAATAACCATAACTTAATAGGAATTAATCATAATTAAGGAAAAAACAGTGATTGAACAATTCTTTTCTGTTGAATGCATACCAAAGCTGTAAGAATGAGACTCTGTCTGACACATTACAAGCAGCCATGTACTTACAACTGAAAGAACTGCTGTCAGATTAGAAGGGTTATAGCTGATATTTCAGCTGATTCCCTTTCCCTTTTCTTTGTCATGGGATCAGTATGTAATTTTATAAAAGCAAGATTTTCATGTGCCAAATGCAAAGTTCTGTTTCTTCTCATTCTGGTACTGAAAATGTATGTATTTGACAATTTACATCATATATCCTATATATACTCTATACATTTTAGTTAGGTAGAATTCTACTGCTCTTAGATTTTCATATTAAAAGTCTAGAATGCCTTAATCTCAGTAAGCTTTCAACAGTTTAGTTACTTTTCTTCTCCCATCTCTTTTACCAGAGTGATGAAAATGAACAGGAACACCAGTCTGATTCAGAAGAAGGAACAAATAAGAAAGAAACTCAGGTAATTTTAAATAGATAATTAATTTATTAACTTTCTAACAGATACATTTTCATCATACAATTTTTGTTGCGGTTCGATTCAGTTAAAGGTGTACTTATGGTAGCATTCTTAGGAGTGCTTTCTGATTCATAATTCATGGCTATGCTTCACTGCCATTTCCTGTGCAGACTTTAATAACAATTTTTAATGTATTAACAGTGGCTAAACCTGATGTTTTTCTCTTCCATTCTGATTATGTAGAATTAGCATCCAGAAAATGTAGGTGAAATTTCTGACACATAGGTCAGGGACAAGTTGCAGCAAGTTACTGGAGGGAGCTTTCAGTTTCTACCTTGCAAAAATCTTTGTTCCATCTGCTCTGTTATTTTCGGATACATTATGTCTGGTGACTTATGCATACTAATTAAAACCTTTTGAAATTAAACTTAGTGCTGTCAATAATGTAATTAACAAATACTATGAGCAGTTAATATAATGAAGCATAGAAAGTTGAAGAGCACAATGTACCTGATTTCTCCATTGCAGAAAATGGATTTCTGAACATCCTAATTCAGTATTATTAGTCTTGTTAAAAAGTCAGTGGAAAGCACTCTAATAGGCTTGATTTGATGGGATAAGTCCTTATAAACTGAATGGTGTGTGGCAGCGGGATGGAGGTATTAAAAGGGAAGTAGTGACTTGAGCTGTACTATAAAATGGTATAGCAGAATGTATTTCTTTTGACCTAAACCTTGGAGTAACACACTACAGAACCAGGTTCATTACTAAGGAATAAAACTCAAGTGACGTTTCTCTCCTTTTTATAAAAGCTTCCATTACACATTCCTTAAATATTTTAGTTAAGAGATGCATTCCATGCGTTTTTGGGTTTCTGTATTTTTATTTCCAAGTCACATTAACATAAATATATAGTCCTGTTGCCTTTCCTCCCACGAGTGCAAATTGTTATCCTTAGATCTGTAATTGCCCCATATTCTGTTCTATAGAAACTCATTTTGGTAGAACGTGCAGGTGGTGCTTCTGATAGAATTAGACTTATATCTATTTCAACTACAGTGAAACAGTGGTAAATCAGGCCCAAAATTATGAATATGATCTATGATTAAAATGGTGGGTGTGTCGGGGTGGGATGGTGGAAAAGTGTAGAATTGGCTGCCTAATCATGGCTTGACTTAGGAGTCAAAACATTCTCCTAGCCTGTATACTTCCTACAAAAGACTTTCGTAGTTTAGTTTCATTATAAATCAACATTATATCAGATTTGAGTTCATGGAGAGCTCTGAAACAAAGTGAATATGCGAACCAAGTTCACTGTCACCTAGCTACATAAATGGATTTTGCTGTTTTAATACAAGCTCTTTTGTCATATCAGCTACAGAAAATAAGAAAACAGAGTGAAAGTGAGTTGAATGTCAAAATAAGTCTCTCGTGTTTTTAAGTTTTCTTTTCAAATGTTGTCAAACCTACTATGGAATTTCCAGTGTAGTATCAAAATTGCCTTGTAATTATAATAATGTTAATTATGAGATATTTTAAAATTTGTATACAATATTTCATCATTTTCCTATTAAGGTGGTTTTTTTTCCTTTGCATACAAATGGTTTATCAGAGATCTGAGACATTATGTAGATTTCAAGTAACTTCCTCTCTTTGATAAACAACTATTTAGCATTTATCAATGATAAACTGAGAACTAAATATATTACTTTTGACAATATTTTGCCACCTTACAAAAATAACAATGGAATAGATCTTAACCACTTTTTTTCCCAAATCCATGGCAAAAGTGTATTTTTTTACTTTTTAACTTCCTAAAGAAATTGCACTTTCCTTTTTGCGGTTGCTAAATCTACTTTCACTTTGTCACAAATCTTGCATGCTTTATTGTAGAAATTCATCATTATTTGCTTATCAATCCTTTTCAGTTCTAGAAAGATAAAAGGAAAGAGATATGAATAAACTAGAATTATAATGAAAGACATTCGGAAAATATTTATGCTTTTTCAGTGGTGTCGATCATTTGATGTACTGCTATTCAGAAGACAGAAACTTTGTAAATACTGAAATTCTCTGTTACTCCCTTATGTGGTGCTGCTGTTGGGTTTGGGTTTTTTTGCTTGGTAAAGCTACGAGCCAGAGGTAGAAGATGGTAACTATAAACTTCCAAGGGCTTTGGCAGTAACTCAAGAATTTAAGCTAAAGAGAGGAGGTCAGGAACAAGCCTTGCACATGGGTGGGTGCATGCTACAAAGAAGCTGCTCATTTGTCCATAAAGGAGAGCTATTAAAGAGAAGTCAGACTTTGCTAAGCATGTTGACAGTTGGAGGTTGTCCGAGTGAAATTTTGTTTAGGCTTTTTAATGGTGTGAGCTGAGAATTTCTTCGATTCGCACGAAAAATGCCTTGTTACTTAAAGGTGTTCCTGCTAGAAGAATAGTGTTAGTTCTAAGTTGTAGGATAGCAGTTCAAAAATAAGGAAGCTGGAAGATGACTTTGGCAACTGAAGGAGTCTAAGTAAAAAAGTTTCCATGAAGCCTGTTTTTCAGTATCGTGAATTTTAAAAAAAGAATTTGAATAGGCCCTACAACTGTGAGTTATCTTTAAATGGACCGAAATTTTATTTTGCAAGAGATCAGATTTGTGACTTCTGAAAGGTGAAAGCTAGCAGTATTAGGATAATAAGTGTTATTAGGTCTTCTAATTCTGTGGGAATAAACATGAGAAACTGGCATTAATAGTGTTGATTGAATGCTGTACTCAAATATTCTCAGTTTCACTGCTGTGGCAGTTTTATGGAAACGGTTATTTATAACAGTACAGAAAATTCTACCTGACTGATAGTTTATCTCCATTACCAGTAACTATCCTCACTAAAATGTAATGTGCATGTCTAGAAACTTAATGTACATTTTCTTTTTGGGGCACCCTTACTGTCTGTATAGACTGGTGCATAAGATTAGAAGCGTTATTTCAGGTTGTGTAGTTAAGGATACATACGTTTTAATTTTTCATTACTGCTTGTGTGCTCCCAATGTAGCTGTGGCTGCTCAGTTCTGTGACTGTACGAAGAACACCCATCTCGTGTGATTGGCATGCACGGGGATATCTGTGTTGGCATTATTTCTTCTCAAGCTTTATGCAAAGTTTGTAGACTTACATCTTTTCACAATTCTTTTTGTCAAATGTCAAAAATAGTGACTGAGCTGAACCGACAGAAATTGAAGGAGAAAATAAAGAAAGAAAACAGCTAAGACGGTGCTAAAAAAAAAAAAATCCAGGCATGTTTTGTGAAAAGTGAGGGGAACAAGAGCAGGCATGTGCTTGAGAAATGCGCTGCTCTCTCAGTGAGGTGTGGAGGCTGGATGGTGCTTGAGCAGTGGGAGCAGGGCTTCACAGCTTTCAGGGAATGGAAACCGCTGATGTACAGTTTTCTGAAGATGATAGAGTCCTTGTCCAGCTTCTCAGGTTCCCAGCCTCAGCCAGGAGAATGAGAATGGGCTGCATCTGTGTTTTCCTGCCTCTGGTAATCAGTGCTCTCTCACCTCACCAGTTCATTTGTTGTCCCCCTGCGTAGCTGGAAAATTGTGTTTCTAAGATGGTCTCTGTGTGACTTAATAACTTGCCTTTCTGTTCGGAAGCAATCATGCAGGAGGGGAATAGAGATCTGGGAAGTTTTCACGCTCCCAGGGCACCATGAGGGGTCCACTAGAAGTAAAGAAAAGCAGCCTTTAGAAAGCATATTTGTTAAGAAATAACGTAGAAATTGTTTACTTCCTTGAGGTGGCTGTCCTTGTAGGTAAAGGTTAAAAGGACCAGCTTAGCATTTTTCTGTATACAGCATTCCTTCAAGGTAAAAAAAGAAAACCTGAAGTCTTTATGACAAAGCTTCCTTTGTTTTGTTGAGGTGAGAAGGAAGTAGTGGGAAAGGGATTTTCATAGGTCATTGATTACATGGTGGAATTCTGTAATCCTGCTCTGATCTTGCTTGAACATAGAATAATGCAAGATAAGACTCATACTTAGGTGGAAATTAACCTTACTGTAGCCAGTAGCTTAAAAACTATCTGCGTATAGATGTGTGCCACCTGTGACATTTTCTACAAAATCTCCTAAGTTCTCAGCATTATGCCTGCTCTTAACAGAAAAAAAGCAATGTTTCATTAGGAGTGGTTAGGCTACAGCACATACTTTTCATGTCCTCTGCGTAGTAAATGCACTTCAAGGTGTCAAAGGGGAAACCGAGTGTATTGTGGATAATGTGGCTGTTTTCCTCCATGCAAGTTGAAAGAATAGTTTCCTTCTAAAACCACACCACCCCCCAAAAAACCCACCTATGGGGAAGGCTTCAGCCACTGCTAGGTGAATAACGTTGGAGGATGCCCAGCTGATGATACATCAGTAGAGTTGACTGAAATGTCTTCACTCAGGATTGTTATAATTGGAATAAATGATGAATCGGTATTGACCACCCAGAGGGCAAAAAGGTTTATATGACTGATGTAATGCTTAGAGGGCGCTCCCTCACTCCTAAGTCATCACTTCTAATTAAATTTTGCTTCTCAAGTAAAGTGAGTGAACTTTGTGCCTGTGGATTCACCTGGAATGAATGAATGAGAGTAATATAAAAAATGAGATTATGTCATTTAAATTAAGTCTAATAAGTACTTCCTTATGTTGTTGGTATAATAGCTTGTTTCCCATTGAGCTATGTTGAAATGATGATCTTGAAGTTTATTTTGTATTATTATTTTAAGCTGAAGTCATTATGTTGACCTTTCAAAACATAATTGCTAATGTTAGAGAAAAGAAAGAAGGGATAGGGAACTCGGGGAACACAGTTCTGATGCCTTTGATAATAGGCAGGCAAATCACAGAATGTATCAACTGCTGAAATGACTCCAGTGTTTAGGACAGTCCAAACTTGTAGAGTGTAATGTTAAAGTCCTTGTAAATCATATTTTGGCAAGCACATTCTAGCACATATTTCTTTTCTGTTCCAGACATAACAAAATTGAAGCTTGACAATGTTCGGATAATACATACTGTTGGATAGCGTGTGCATTTAACAAAGCTGTTTGGCTATACTTGTTCACAGATTGTATATATATTTTATTTAATGAAATTATTGACTTTATCTATTCTTTTTCTCTCTTTTTACCCCTCCCCACCTCAGAGTGATAGCCTTTCAAGGTACGTGCAATTTAAACAAATAAATTTAAAATTGTTACACTTTTTGTTCACATCTTCTCATTTTAAGTTCTTTATGTACAAATTCAGCTTAACTCCAGTAGTCAGCTGGGTTGAGCTTTAAAAGGCGTTAACGATATTTAACATTTGTATGAAATACGGTTGTAAAGCTACAGTTCTGAATATTTTTTCCATGTGTGGGTGGGATAATCCATTGTGGGGAATGTATTGGACTCTGTATGTGTAGCGCACTGAAGGCAGTCTGGGCATTTTGTATAACACAGTGGATACAGTACCATTCCCTACAAATTTTTCAGTATTAAGTCAGCTTTTACAAAGAATACAAGAGGTTCTTTTTGGCCCTCTTTTAGAATACCCTACTGAAAATCTTCTAAGGAATCTCAAAAAAAGTACTACAGCCTCTGAAAATCAGATTTCCTTACAATTTGCTAAAAAGGAAATGCAGAAATATCAATCATTTAAAAAAATTTAGTTTAGAGCTGTAGAATTATTACATTTTATTATGTTTCATCTGTGCTGAAAATCTGTTGAATAGAACTATTATAGCACCTGATCAGTGAAGAATGAGAAGTGTGAAATTATTCTAAACTTTTTTCATACTGGTTGTAATTTAGAGATTAATAGGATAAAGGCTATGCTGAAGATTTGTTTCATAAACTGCTTCTGTTGAAATACTGGAATTCATAGCAAAAAGTTTTGAAATCTCCCAGGTTTCTCTAATAATACTTGGAGAATTCATCTAGGTCAGTATTTTAGAGATTACTTTTTTAAACCCTTCAATTAAAGTAATAAATTTATTAAAAATAGGCCTTTATATAAATACAATAGAATTAAAGTATCTAAGCTCATGTAAAGTCCTTTAAGACATGTAAATATTTGCTTGAATTAAATATTTTAATTTAATTTGAAAGATTTCTCTGCATACCAGGCAGGCACTTACTGGGCAGGCTGAGCAATCTGAAAAGATTTTCACACAGAAAATCTTGAAGCACTGAAAATCTTGAAGTACTGAGGGAATGCAAAAATCAAATTTGCATCAAATTAGAAGACAGTGGCTTAACTAAAATACGTAATTCCATCTGGTTGTTTCCAGCTGGGTAATGAGAAACTCACAATGTTTGATACAGTGAGTGGTCTCAGTTTGAACACGAAGGCAAGGAAAAATAAGAACTTTTCTTCTACAGATATGAATCGGGCTCCCTCAGCGTGTCTTCAGGTGATCGCTACGATTCAGCACAGGGGAGATCGGGGTCACAGAGTTACCTTGAAGATCGAAAACCGTACTGCAGTAGACTAGAAAAAGAAGATAGCACTGATTTTAAAAAGGTATCTGATCCAATAATTTTTTAGTGAAAATAGAACTTCATTATTGTTTTTCTTAAGTTATCTGGAAACAAGCTCACATTGCATCACAAATGCTGCTTAAAGCAACTCAGTTGAATGGAGGAGCAGAGCAGCCGCTACAGGGGGGAAAATGCACATTACAAAAGTGCTTCTGGCTTTTGCACTTTTCAATTCAGAGGAGAAATCCAGAGGAGCCAAGGTCCATTTTTATGACAAATACTATCATATTATTTTTTTTTTAGTTGATTTTAGTTGATTTAGTATCATTAAAGCTGCTTTATACAGATGTGAAGCCTTTTATTTTATGTTTTCTAGCTTACATGCATATGATGTAAAATTTTGTTTAGATCTTGCTTTAAAATAGAGGAGGAGTTTGTCAAAAAGTTTACTGTGGTGTCTAATCTGTGAAGTGTGAAGCAAAAAAAGGGACAAGTATTTTTTTTAATATGTGTAAGGTAAGTTATGTGCTCCCTATGCAAAGTTGCTTGTTTCTAGAAGTATTTGGTAACAGTTTTTTAAAGTGCTTGCTAATTCTAAACATCTTTAAAACTATAACTGATTTTTACTTCTTAGACTGCTAATGTATTTGTTAATTTTACATGCAGCTCAGATCATAGTTTTTAAATTTTTCAGCTAATCTCACTGAGTTATTATTTGGTATTTTTTTAAACGAATATTTTCTCTTAGCTTTATGAACAGATTCTAGCTGAAAATGAAAAACTGAAAGCAGAGTTACATGATACCAACATGGAACTTACAGATCTTAAGCTACAGCTGGAGAAGACCACTCAGGTTTGTATAAAACAAAGCCATCTGTACTTAGCTGACAAGGTAGATAGCAAACTAGAAGCACCCCAGGGCGTGGGCAGCTCTTTACCTAGGCATCAGCTTTGTTTCTTATCCAAAGATGGAAGTGAAGAAAAGTACCTCTGTTTCTAAAGAGAAAAGAGTGCAGGATTCTGGTCTTCAGCTGTGAAAAAAATGTGTGAGACCGCCTCCTGCCTATTTAAGTACTCGTGGTTCTTGCCAGCCTATATCTGTAACTTCTTTGCAGGGTAGGGATAAACACTTTCTATGCCCTTAAGCTTATATTCAAACTGTCAGTTGGGATTGATCGATTAATTCATAAACCTGCTGGCAGATTGGCACAGCCTGCCAGTTCTTCCTGGCGGGTTAGATAGCTTTATCTTGGAACTGAAGAGCAAATAGTGCACTCCAGTTACAGATAACTGCTCTCAGATAACAGTGCTGCATACGTTATACCAAATATGTACACAAAAGTTAAATTCGTCTTAAATTGCTGTAGAAAGAGAGTCTCCTATTCTCAGATCACATTTGCCCCAATTTACCTGCGTAGGTACCTAAGTGTCTTCCGTGTGTACCCCATAAATATCAGTGAAGCACATTAAAAAGGTATTTGTTTTGTAATGCTTTTAGGTAGAAATACTGTATTACTCCTATTTGCCAAAGGCCGTGTAGTAATTAAGTTACTTAGGAATGGTCACAGAGGAAGTGCGTGATAAATCCAGTTCATTCTTCTTTATTCTTTATTTCAGTGTTACTTCCCTGAACACACTTTAAAATGCTTTTGAAGACATACTTTGGACAGAATACTAAAATGTCCCATTGAATTGTTTTTCCTCAGTTTTATGTTGTTTAAGAAGAAGTAGCAATGGCTGTATTAATTTTGTGTTTCAGAGACAAGAAAGATTTGCTGACAGATCACTCTTGGAAATGGAGAAAAGGGTGAGTTTCTGCCAAAGATATCTTAAGTACTCCAATTCAGACTTTGTTTTAGTTTATTTTGCAACCCCTGGCTTGGATATATTTTAGTGTGAACAGAAGCCTTTCTTATAACTTGCATTTTTCAGAAGATTTGGGGATTTTAGGTTTCAAAGTGGCAATGAACATGAGATACTGTGGGATGGAATTACTCTTAAGAATTGCCTTCACGTTCCCTGTTGGTTTGTGATAACCAGTTTCCAAACCCCACTGCCCTCCAGGGATCTGCTGCTTGTTCCATCTTATCCAAAACAGTGTTGGCACTCCAGAGGGTTAAGCAGGTTCAGAGCATCTCATCTTCTAATGCATTTCCAACATTCAGAGACTTTAATTTCCTCAGACCTTTCCAGAGGCATGTGTGTTGTTTTACCAATTATTGTTGGTAATGAAGTAGCTGTTTCTACCTCACAGACATGAGACCTTAAACCTGCTAATGATATAAAATTAATCATAACCTGTCTCTCTCCTTGTACTGTAACTTTTTCCAGAGGGAATATGATACTGGGCGGGTGGGAAGAATGAGTAAGCAGTGTGGGAAGAAGAGCATCAGTGTCAGAGACAATTCTAAACTGAATGGGAAAGGGGTCGTGTAATGAATCCATATGTCATAGACTACAGGAATTATTTCAGAAGTTGGGCACATGATAATTTTAAGCTGTAGTTTCATGCTAGTTTTAAATCCATCCCTATAAAAGTTTAGTTCCACAGCAGTGTAGACCAAACTATGTTGGGTTTGTTGTGGTCCTGGCTTCCTTCATGACCCTCTCCACATGTTCCTTCCTCCTCCCCTGATCCTGGAGTGACACATTAAACACTTAAACGAGAAGAAAACTAAATGGGCTTTGACAGTAATAAGTGATATGGTATACATTTATTTATCCCTGATGAACTTCACATTCACTAGTCATTTATGTTTACTTCCCAGTAGATGAGGTTTAGAAAACAATTTTTAGTGCTACAAACCCGTCTGCTGTATAAACAAACACTTGGTAGATTTTATAGGAGCACATGGAGATGAAGAAATGCTCTCTGGCACTTCCTGAAGTTCCATTATCTTTATCTTAATAATCTTGCCAGATAATTGCAGCAGCCTTTTAGCGCCAATTTCTCCTTGATTTTTTGGCATCCTGCTATAGACAGTGATTTCATCAGTAGAAAAGTTTCATCAGCAGCTTTAATTGGTTTCTTGCTTGCTATCGTGGCTGTACAAATGGACATTTAATTATTTCATATATTTAGCTGCATCCATTACTATATAGATTCCATACTGTAGAGCATTCGGTACTGCATAGCTAGACATTATTTGAGTTTTAAATTACTGCTTTGTTTTTTCCCAACATAGGCCATTGCATTCAAACAATTGGCTATATTAGAAATTTTTGCACCTTTTTTTTTGTAAAGACATTTTAGTCCAACAGCAAAATGTCTTTCAGAAGTGTTACTCTTCCTAAATGTATTAGTACTAAAGCTAGCAGGTAACAAAGTTGGTGATAATGCTGTATGCCTGAAACATGATTTACACAAGATTTAGGAGATGTTCCTTGTATTTTATCATTTTAAACTTCTTTTCAGTCAAGAATTGAAAACAGGAATTTATTTGTGATTGTATTTCCCCTGTTGTTGTTAAAATCTGGAGTTACTTTCACTTTGCGTGACTGAAGCAGGATTCTTGGCTGGTAGTCATCAATGGCTGATCTCTAGAAATAAGCTTACCAAATTCAATTCAGATTGTGGATCTTTAAGAATAATTTTAAAGACGCTTTTCTAATGTGTAATGTAACAATATAAATGTAAAATGCAGAAACAAATTGTAGAGCTTTTCTAAGTGTACTTTTCCAAGTATATGACCTCACAAAAATAAAATACAAAACTTTACAAAACTATAAATTACATAGAGAAAAGGGAATGGGAAAAGTAAAGTGGTGAGAATAAATTGGAAGAAATAAAAGGCTGGCAGAGAAAAACCTGAAGGCATCTTTGAACTGGGGGTACAGACAGGGTCACAGATGCGAGGTACTAGCAAAAACAGTCCATAGGCAATATTAAGGGTTTCATTAATGTCACTCTGAAAAGTATGCTAAAAGTCCTTTGCAGAATTTCATATAATGTGATAATCAAACTCAAAACTGCAAGGTTTCAGTCAGAATTCAAAACTGTAGGTACCTTTAACCAGTTTCCCCCAAATTTAGAATTCATCATCTGGAAATTTGGGTTGGGAGAGGTGTATTTTTTGGTATTACTGAATTTGCAAATATATGTAGGTATATACATCTGGTTTTACTTCTGAATAATTTTATAACTCTGAGGTCAGTTTTTCACCTCTCTATATCCCTGTACCTCAGTCTCACTGCACCAAGACCATGGTTCCTCATTGCTTTGATAAATACAAATGAGCTATTGTATTTTATAAGCTGAGAGACCAGCATGTATTTTTTTCATTTTGAGGGTTACAGATGTTCCTTGGCATACTTTATAGAGTTGTTGAAGTGTATCATAAAATTTTAGACTGCGTAAATTTCAATCCCTTTCTTTGAGTCCAGGGACTAATCAAATAATACTGGCAAATCTTCCCAGTGAAACTGCAGTATGTTATTTTGCTGGCATTCCTCAAGCCAGTTTGTAAAAGAGTAAGCAGTTCAGGAAAAAGAGCAACATAGCTTCATCTAATCAGAACAGTACTTTCTTGCAATAAATCTTATATCAAGGCCAGTCCATTTAAATGTTTCTTGTATGTAATGGGAAGTGTACAAAGTTAATGAAATACAGATTTTATTTATTTGGCTTTTATTGCTAATAGTTTTTCTTAGACAAGCTCAACATGCTAGTTAAGTAAATGCATCAAAAGGACCAACGATTTTTAAACTGTCTGAAATTCTGAGATTTATTTGATCATTCATCTCTTGGTAATCACAGGAATTGTCAAATACTGCTTAATATAAGAGCACTAATAATATATATTATTCTACAAAGCTAGTAGGTAACTGATAACCATTCGAAGTAACTTGAGATGGTGTGGGCTTTTTGTTAGTCACTTGCCTGCTGCAGTTAACTCGCAGGTACTCTGTGCCCATCACTATCAGTCGGTATCGTTACAAGAAAAGTCTTAACTCAAAGGAGTTAAGTACAATAACTACTAACAACTTCAGTAATCTGTTACTTTGATAAACCTTTAAAGTTGTTTGCTAAAATGGGAAAATGTTGGGGTATAACTGCACTATGATTAAACTAAACTCAAATGATTTATATCTGAAAGGTGACCGGCAAGAGTCAGTATCTACTGGGCGGTATGATCTAACCAAAGTTTTACACACCTCAGTCAATGCTGCTTGCTGTTTGCATAACACCGTTGTATGCAGATGCATATGTCCACTTTGCAATAATCTGTTGCTTTTGCCTTTCACTCTTTGGAAAAATCTGAATGTAGAGTACTGATAACCGCAGCCGCTTTTAAATGAGACACACTGCATTGTCTGACACAGGAAAGCAAGCAATCAAGCTATAAACCCCTGAGGTCTATTGCATTAGCTATCCATCTGTCAGATGTGTTGAAAGTTAGGTTTGAACTAAATAATGTCATTTAGAAATACGGTAGTGTGTCTGCATTGCAGACTGCAGCATAGTATAGAAAACCCTAAGCTAACTTCCAGTAAGCTAGCTTGGGTGCTGTAATTGGTGTAATCAAAACAACCTGAAGTTCTCTACAAAGGATAACTTCTCCTACTTCTCAGGTAAAAAGAAAAAAAAAAAAGAAAAAAAAAACTATACTAGAAACGCAGAAAATATTCAGGAAACATTTGCTTAAGAAGCAGGTGGTCTTGCATAGCTAGATTTCTTTGGTACTCAGCTGAACTCCTTTAATGTAAATTTGGGGGTGTCTACACTACCTTGCAGCTTATAGTGTGGACAGATCCCTCTGAGCTGAGACAGATGTTTCAGCTATGTTTGCTTGTCTATGAAAGCTTATGCTTTTGTGCTTGTTTCTTTTAATACTCTTGTTTGTTTCTGATCATTTTCTGCATTTCTTGTATATGAAGCTATTACGGAAGCCTAGCTCATGAAAAATAAATCCAAACAAATGGTACTTACAACCTGACTAAATTTATGTAAAGGAAGGGCTACGTTTTGTAGGATTTGATGTACAGTTCTATATCTCTTCCTCCTCAGATATTAAAATTCCGTATTGATAAAATTTCTGTATATCACTGCCATCACGAGTTTCCTGTCCACACTATGCTTTTGGTTGTATGATCTTTGAAACTTGAAGTATTTCACTGTTACCACAGTATTTATAAGCAGTAATTTTTAAAAAGTTGTATTGTTCAGTGTTAACACACATCTTTTGATTTAGGAAAGAAGAGCTCTAGAAAGAAGGATATCTGAAATGGAAGAGGAACTGAAAGTAAGTAAACTATTACACATTGAACTATTAGTAACAAAGGGTATGACTATGTGAGGGCAACATGTCGTCTGGCAGTATTACTGATCTCTATAATTTCATTAGAAAATAACTAAGTTATAGCTGCATTTCAGAATCTCTCACGTCATATAGCTTGTAGTGAAGCTGTTACGCCGGTATAAGCAGTCAGACATGCAGGAGTTCTAAGAAGGCGCTGAGAGTTATGCTTCTATAACATACTGGCTAACAAGAAACATTCAGAGATGGTTGAACCGAGTGAAACATATCTTGATCTAATCAAGATGGAATTGCAATCTGTGTTTTTGATGTGATACTCTGTATTTTATTAACTTAAAAATAATAGTAGCGTATAATTCCATAGATATTTAAGCATTAAGTGTGGCTTCAATCTTTATCTCATGCTCTTTAAATTACATATTAGACAGCATGTTACCAATATCAAAGCTTCCATTTGTATAGAGTGAATAATAATCAGGCTTTAGTTAACAAAAAGCAGAGGATAGATTTCAGACATTGAGAAATAAGTACTGTTTACCACATGTACTGATTTCTATTTTTTCTACTATGTATAAACTGAATCCCAGAAGGAAAATACTTTATTAATACATACCTGGTTTGGGTTTTTTTTAACCAGTCATGGTATGGCTGTCCTAATTTTCTGGTTTGTCAATGTTAAGTGCTCTGATATGATTAAAAAGGGTAAGAAATTTGTCAGCTTTGTATTTGTATTATGTCCTTGGATATAATATACTGGACAGGGTAAACCAAACTGATAGAATTAAAGTATGACTAGAAAACTAGTGAAACATGATGAAATATAAAACATTTTTGCACTCCAAAATTTTAAAGAAGTACCACTGTTTTGACATTTGATACTTGTCATTGGTTAATAAAAAGTTTCCTTTCAAGCTCATTTTTGAGCTCCCTCTGGTGCTTGGAAATGGCATTAACTTCGAAATACTTTTCATTAAAATACGTGCACGAAGTTTTGCTGAAGTAATTGAAGCTGACAGGCAGATGTAGGCAGAAGGCAACCACGATGCCTCTAGCTCCGTTGGATTCAGGCCAAAATAGTTTGCTGTAAGAGAGGACACAAAATCTGTGGTTTCTTGAAGGGTCTTTAGAAGTGAAATATGTAGAAACCAAACTATGGTATAGGAAAATAATTGTGGCTAGGAGTGGAAGACAGGATGTGAGCTTCTATCGTCAACCTGTAAATTCCTGCTAGGAAAGGTTGGGCTTCCGAGAAAAATAGAGAATGCAGATATATTGCCTTTCTTCAAAAGCTTACTTTCAATAAGCAATACCTGAAAGTTTTGAATTAAAGATTAAATACCCTTCCTATCATTTGTTGCACTGATGTGTAAAAATATGTGTTAAATGTGTCACTGTTTACAGACTTTTGAATAGGAGATTTAGTTTGTGCAATTAGGATGTTAAGTAAAGAATTCCAGGAATAGCTCTCATTGTTAATGTATCCTGAACTGTTTTGGAAAGCTGTGATGAATCACTGCTGGTTCTTAGATTGCTTTTCAAGAATGTGCCACTTTTTGATACTTCCCTTTCACAGCGACTTATCTACTTTAAACAGGACTGTCTCTTCTAAGTTTTCTTTCAATTCTGCTCATCTCTAGTTCTTTTAAACATAATATACATGGTTTTTTCTCGTTTTCACTCCTATTTCTTTGATTCCTGCAGAACCTACAACAAATAAAGCAGATTCAATCTTTGAGGCACATAAATGAGCGACTGGTGACTGAGAATAGGGCCTTGACCCGAGTGGTTGCCAAGCTGTCAGGGTCCTGTAGGCAACTGCACTCTGTGGACTTGTAATTCCTGCCTTCTCCTTTGTGTAGCCAGGCAGGTGCCGATCTTCAGTTTGTGCTTGGGTAGAATTTTACTATTAACACTTGTGTGTCAGCAACTGACTTACTGCTGCTCGGTTATGGAAGTGTGGCTAAAGCATGGTGTCCGGTGTACCAACTACAGGTGTGGCAGGTGTGTTGGTATGGTGTGGTGTTGTCCTTACTAGCACTGAAGCTTGTCCTCCCTCACGTGAAGATAAATTGGCAATGATCCAGGAGACTTTTGACACGTTAAAACCTTGGCAACAATTGAAAGTGCATGAGTTTGCACTAGAATACACTTGGAGTCACTCCCTTGTTTTTTGATCTTTGAGTAAATGCTCAGATAGATCTGCCTCTCCCTTTCTAATAAATGTAAATTAAGAATTGAGCTTTCTTACTGGAGTATAATTGAAGCGCATAGAATTGATACAAATGTAGTCTCAACTAAAGAATGTTTGAGAAATGGTTTCAGTACTGTGCATTCCTGGACAGTTGCATTAGCAACTTTTATTTCTTACGTTTGTGTGTTTTAGTGTTTAGAGGGGATCAAAGTCTTTCCTTTCAAAAATGTATCAGAGTTTCAAATCGATTAATATTTTCACATACTAACTTCCCGTGTGGTTCTGGCCAATCCTTTATTTTAGACAGCTTAAAATACCCACTTTTAGCACTGAGTTAAGGTTATTGATTTATATTGCTATATATGTAGGCATTCCAGTGGCGGACCGGAATCCTATCATGCAGGGGCTGTACAAATGCAGGTGCAAACAAACCCGCCTAGTGTGTCAGGTTGGTTCGTACTTACTAGGTCATCTGGTTCAGTCCCCTTCTGTTAAAGGTATGAACTGTTTTGAGTTTAATCTTGGACAAACATACCAGTTTGTTGTCCTTAGTGTTACTGCAGGGCTGTTTCAGAAACCCACTGAAGAGTCAAAATCTCTATGAGGAGCAAAATGTGGTTTCATCCCACACCACATCTATGTGCTTTTCTTCCTCTTATTTAACAGCTGTATAGGGTGGAGGTCTCGGTGAGCTTTCAAGATCTGTAGACGAAACGAAAAAATTTCCTTCTGCACAGTGACTCTTGCTAAACTGCTTCCCCTCACCTTACCCCCCTTCCCGCTTAGAAGCAAGGCAATAAGCATACTTTTTTTTCATTCTGCTCAGAGTCCAGTCTTGGGGTTTCCCCACTAAGAGGCGTGAAATAAAGAGGTTTATCCTTTGGCTTTATATCTTCCTGGAGTTGGTCTAACAATAGGATGTGGATAGAAAGGTTGTTCCTGGTCCAGGCCCTGCATTCCTCAACATTCCCTTCTGTTAACCCTTACTGAGTGAGTCAAGTCAGCTCTCTGACCTGGCTGAAAACAAATCCCTTTACTCGTTATATTACTTGATCCATCTCACCCCAGTGTTGTTGAATCACTGGAGTAACACGCAGAAAGCAGCAGGAGCGTACTGCTGCGTGCGAAGGGAGAGCCATCCCTTTAGGGCAGCCCGTCTTACTTCAGCTTCAGCTAACAATGTGGGTTTTCAACACAGCTGAGCTAATCTAACGACTGCTGTCCACAGCCACACATCCATACCGTCTTTTTTTGCTAGCACTGGCATTCCTTTAACCATAGTAAGCCAGTTTGGGGTGTTAACCCACAGAAAACTGTTCAGTATTCCTTTTTATAGGGGAAGTTTTCAGTGGCAGATCATTGTGGAGCTTGAGGAGCCTGGCTAGCAAAAGAAAAGTAACGGAAACACAGCAGGGAGGCTTGACATTACGATGGCAGCTTAACCATAGCAGTGTGCCTGATTAATCTGAACAGGTACCTTAACAGTTAATGAGCTTTTTGTAATCTTAATTTACAAAGCTGTTTTGTATGTATAAACTTTTAAATCCTTCAGCAAACACAGACATTATTTTTACGGTACAGATCTGAGTTGGCTCCCCATATGTCAGGTGATTATTAAATAATTATTTGCTCAACAACAGCACTGCAAACTTACTAGCTAGTCATGTGTCATGGTTTAACCCTAGCCAGCAAATAAGCACCACACGGCTGCTTGCTCGTTCTCTTCCCAGTGGGATGGGGAGAGCATCAGAAGGGTAAAAGTGAGAAAACTCGTGGGTTGAGATAAAGACAGTTCAACAGGTAGAGCAAAAGCTGCACATGCAAGCAAAGCAAAGGAATTCATTCACTGCTTCCTGTCGGCAGGCGGGTGCTCAGCCATCCCCAGGAAAGCAGGGCTCCATCACACGTAACGGTGACTTGGGAAGACAAATGCTATAACTCCGAACGTCCCCCCCTTCCTTCTTCTTCCCCCAGCTTTATATACTGAGCATGACGTCATATGGTGTGGAATAGCCCTTTGGCCAGTTGGGGTCAGCTGTCCCGCCCATGTCACCTCCCTGCTTCTGTGCACCCCCAGCCTGCTCGCTGGTGGGGTGGGGTGAGAAGCAGAAAAGACCTTGACCCTGTGTAAGCCCTGCTCAGCAGTAATGAAAACTTCCTTGTATTATCAACACTGTTTTCAGTACAAATCCAAAACATAGCCCCATACCAGCTACTGTGAAGAAAATTAACTCTACCCCAGCCAAAACCAGCACATCATATAATACAGACAGGCAAAATAGTGCATTTGTAATCTTATTCAAGAATCTCATCACGGGAAGACACTTTGCTATTGTAGTGAGAATCAAATTGGAATTCAAAGTGTTAAGTACAGTATGAACTGTAATTTTACTGGATTTACTGCAAAGCTTTTTTTTTTCCTGCTTCTGCACGTTAAAGGTGTGTGGTGTCACCTCATGAGAAGTTTGAGTACCATAGGAATGCAGTGCTCAAAGGAAATTGCGTAAATGTCTTTGGCTAGGTTTAAAGTATGTGGAGATTAGTATAGATGAGAAGCGTTAAGTATTTTAGGTTACTTGAGCTTATCCTTCCTGATCAATCTCCTATTACTCATAACTGCTTTTGTCTCCTACCAGTCTTCCCCTCTTCTTTAGCAGACTCACAACAAAAGAGAAAATATTTTCTTAATACCTATTCTACCTATTAGTTTAATCAGGACTGAAATCTATCTACAGAGATTTGCAGACATACTATGGTACTGGATTATGTTAAAGCTCTAAATTCGAACAGCGTCTTTTTTTTGTTAAGGTAGTTCACCAGAAAATATACCACTCTGTGGGTCTGCCTGTATGTAATTAAGCATTATGGGCTGCAGGTCCCTAGTTAGTACGTTGAAAGAGGACCATAACATTCCTGGAGTTACTTTGAGGTTTCATTGGAAGGCATCCACGACAACACTTGCTGAGATACCCATTTAACAAAAACAAAACCAGACTCCCTTGATTCCTTGTGCGTGGCTAGACGAAGGCTGTTGTGGTTTCCACCCAGGTTCTTTGGTATGAAGTCCATAACAGAATGAAAAGGAGGAAGGAAAAGTGTGAGTTGCTTGGCCTGAACAAATGGCTGTTTCATTGTCTGCAGGCACACGCCATAGAATAACCCCAGGTCCGTCCTAATACTACAGGTGCATACACAAATGCATGGTACACGCGCCTGTTATCTGGGTATGACCCCTACCACGTGCATCTCAGACAACAGGAGTTGTTTTTTACAGCTTAGAAAACTTAACACAGATAATACTTGAAAATTGCCAAACGATTACTTGCGTTGCCCAATTTCAAACACCTTAACATGGTTTTTGAAAGTCATCAGCATTTTGCAGCGCTTTCTGCTCTGAGCACAGCTCGCAGTTGATGATAATGGAAGCTTCCCTCTGACTCTGTAAAGAGCTCGGGTTAGGTGGCTTGCCCTAAGCTCCACCACGGAGCAGAGTGGGAATCCAGGTTAGCAGAATTTCTGCTTACTCTTAACTGTGGAGACCACCCTTTTTCCTCTTATGATTTCCTGTCATCTTCATTTCACGTACTCTGATACTGGCAGGTAAATAAACTAGAGGTCCTGTAACCTCAGTCATCTTGAGTGCACCGTCGTGTTTCACTCTGTGAGAGGGTCTGCCGTTGGGTGAACTGAGGGTGGACAGGACTTCTTTGGAGGAAATGGGTAAATGAAGCCTCCTGTGTAATGCACAGTTAATCAACCCTACATTTTTAAACTTCTCAGTTCTTCCTATTCTGCTATAATTTTCTGAATATAATGGGGTTCAAAGCATAATTTTGCTTGAATAAAATGAAAACAAAACTCGCGGCAAGGAAATTTCATCATGACAAATTGTGTAGCAGTTGTTACATAGGTCACCAGCTGGACTTAGACCTCTTGCATGTACTTGCACCTGAGGTTACTGAGTAACCGCTCTGCAGGAGCAGGCTCTTACCTCCTGTGTAAACCTGCTGCTAGAAACCATACACGTAATGTAGCCATGCCTATTGGAGGTGGTTTGTTATCAGCCTGTGAATGTAGATAGGGAGAACTGCTGAGACTACTTCAGGTTTCTCTGACAAGTTACATTCTCCCAGCACAAACCTCTGCGCACTGACTTGTCCTTCTTTCCTGTCTGATCCTGTCCAGCCCTCACCTCACTTGGCTTCTGCCTTCCAGCTTTTGTGCTTGTGTGTCACCCATCTCCTGTGGCAACCTTAACTTGCCATCTCCTAACTTCTTGTATGCCTGAGGATGCAGCCTGGTGTTTCAGTGATCCCTTTCAATGATCTGATCTTGTGTCAACCAAGCTACTCAGGGATATGATCTCAAATTATGGGATGTATGCTTCAACACAAGTTTGGAAATGCTTGGAAGATTAATGCTATGAGCTAACCAGCTGAATCACACTGTATCTGATCAGGATGAAATCATCCAAGAGCAGAGTGGTAGATGTGCTTAGCCACAGCATGTTTTTTTGAAACCGTGCAAGTACGGTATAGCCAAGCCTCTCTAAATAGTTGGCAATTAACGTTTTTTTTTTGTTTTGCACTGAAATTTGAAGCTTTTAATTACTTTCCTCACATTACTATAAATGCTTCTGTTGGAGGCTTGTCATCTGCACCACCGAGGTTTAGTGCATCTAATCCAAGCAAATGAAAACTCCTAATCTGTAGCTCTTAGCTGTATCATGCTAAAAGGTGAGCTTTTTGTGAACTGCTGATACGAAGGGGGAGAACTGCCAAGATGCTTAAGCTGAGTAAAGGTTTTTATCCCCAGTGCTTGTCTAGTCTTGCTGCTTTTACTTGGGGTGTAATAGCAAATAACCGTCGTGTTTCATTTTTCATAGATGCTACCAGACCTGAAGGCAGACAACCAGAGGCTAAAAGACGAAAATGGGGCCTTGATCAGAGTTATAAGCAAACTTTCCAAATAAAGGGTTTACTACAGCAGCAAATAACGGTATTGCACATCACTAGTAACTCCAGTGGACCATAGTATGGCAGTCACTGGAAGTGTGGGAAGATCCCTTGGAGACTGTCATTGTCAGATATCCTGCCAAACGCCCTCTTACCTGTGTGTTTTTTTGTATCAAGATCATTGTTTCTGTTAAAATGCAGCTGCTGAGAAGATAAAATGACTGAGAAATCTTGTTTACAGCTACAGCATAATAAGGAAAGTGTTCAAGGCCAGATACGCCTCAGATATTTAACCAGTAAGCCTTAGTTGTACATAAACACTTTTACATCATCAAAAGCTTTCAGCTCTCACAGAAGACAGTTACTCAATAATGTTTTTGTTGTGCCACAATTCCCAGGTTTTTTTCTATACTCAGTTTTTCTTTAAACCTTAAGTTTGGAATTTTTTTTTCCCTTCTAATTATTCATGTACCAGATTTTCTTGTACAGTGTTTTCACAGCTTTACCATTTGCAGAGACCACACACCCTTTTAAATTACATATTTGTGTAGCTACCTAGAGTTGTATTGTCCAGCCACCTGGAACAGAGATGCTTGGTGGAACATTTGCTTTCACTGTTTGTGCAATATGCATTTATTTCCTATACAAAATGCTTTAAAAGTCAGTTGAGACTAGAAATATTTTGAGTCCTGTTTTCTGCCTTTATTGGTCACTTTAAAAAGAAAAAAAAAGACGTTTGTAGTGAAAGATGTTAGATCCTGTAATCATCACATTCATTTGAGCAGGTACTGAGTGATGCTGTATATATAAATGTGTACTGGTTTGATTTTTCAGACCACCACGTGGCATGCTTGAATATATTTCCCTATTGCAAATGTCTGTTAATGCAAATTAGGCTACTCCAGAATAGTGTGTTTAACAAAGTTCATTAATTTTTATGGTATAAAGAATTTAGGCATTGTACATTGTATGGAGCCCTATCTTTACAAAAGGTCTAAACTATATGAAATACTTTATTATCTTTTCCTCCCTTTTTTTTCATTTGATAGTGTTCACCATAATAAAAAATTGCATAAATATAACTGCTTCACTACATTTCACATACCTGTATTTATCTGAGTGCTGTCCAAAACTGTTGTGCTAGCCAAAGTAATGTACTAAACCATTCGAAAAAACATAACCCATTACACTCACATTAATGTTTATATGCACTGTTGTTGCCATGTGAGAAGGCATCCCGTTTGATAACACCATCCTGTCAGACCATTTTATACATTTCAGTGGCCTTTAAAAACAAAAAAAAGTACTTAAGTGAAGACCGCTTTTGTTAGAAACGGCTTTTATATTTTCACTAAACCATTCAAAATACGACATCCTACTGGCACATAGTTTATTGCCTAAAACCACTGAACAGATCAGCCATTACAACAAATTGTACATTGTAAAGCTTGTAGTAGCTATTGTATTATTGATTATATTGTATACTATATTAAATGTGAATTTGTACCCCTTCATTTAAAAAGGTCATTGTGTTCTACTGCCTACTGGGGGGGCGGGGGTTAGTTTTACGGGGGTGGGATATGTTTTGGTAAGGAAGACATGATGTCCTCTCTGTGTTGATTGGTTTTTTGAAGATGTAAGGTTATGCTCTTACTACCAAGCTCAGGATTCTTGATTTTAAAGGTACACAGATAGTTTGAGATATCTTATTGTAATCGATCTGTACGAGAGGTGGGTCTGAACCGTAGGGACTTCCATTGTCTTACGCTAACATAAAGAATTGAATGGCTGCAACGTATTGAGTTCTGTTACAGGACAGTTAGGCATATTCTGGATTATATTTGGTAAAGTTTGGGTGCCTGTGAATGATTAAATACGTGTTTCTAATATTTTAGTGTTTTATATTTAGGTTATTTATTCTTTATATCTAAAAAATGAATGGCTACTGTGCTATATTGATTTTATTGGTAGTACTGAGCAGACCTTGTATCTGCATGAAACTAGTTGCAAAACCCACTATTTTGGAAAAAAAAAATTGTATTTTGACATATACAAATAAAATGAATACAAACTATTTTAAATGTGTGAAAGTTTTACTGAGAAGACATTGAAATTTGTTATGAATTTCAACCATGTTATAAGTTTGCTATTTAAATTCTTTGGTGGGCATTTTTCATTCACTGCGTTACTTGGATGCAAAGTTCAAGGACCTTTCAAAGATTGTAACCGCATTGTGATTATTTGCACATCATTGTACATGCACATCTGTAAATGCAACAGTAAAAATGCCATATTTATGCAATCTGTAACAACTTGGACAAATGTTTATATATTTTACATAAACCTGTCTGTGTGCAGAATCTGAGAACCATTTTTTACGTGGTATTAACCGAACCTCACAAAGCAATTGCTAAGCTTGTGTCACCGTCTCATTGTACTGACCAGGTTGCAGATCAAACACTG